ATAACAATTTCGTTCTCTTCTCTTCTTTTTTTTTTTTTTTTTTTTTCTCTCTCGATTAAAAAGACACGCGCTTAAATCGGCAGGGACGTCCGAAAAATTTGCCGGACAGCGTCCAGGTTAAAGGGAAACTGAAGCGGGTCCGTATTTGAGGAAAAACAGTTAAATCGTCTTCATTTGGCCTCCAGGATCACGAATATCGAGATTATTTTTCAGTTTGGTGCACGGAAGCTGCAGAAATTAATTTTATAGTATCGCTGAAGCCCCTCCTTCCCGGGGCGTGACTTCATACTAGTTTTTAGAATCTCTGCTCTCGCACATTTTCAGCGCCTGTCAAAGCTATGCACGCGCACTCTTGCTATTTTAAAAAATAAAGGTCCGAAATAGGCGTCACGACTGGCATCAGTGCGGAAAAATATACCTAGCAATCTTGCAATTGCACGCGCTGTCCACACGAGCGACACGCGCTTGACGGCCCAAAGATCCTAGTATAACGTAAGGACAAGTAGGAGTTTTTTCGTGTTTTCTCGCGTTTAGTATACATCTTTGGGCTAAACGAACGATATTCAGATTCACGGGATAAAAATACGCCAGAATTCACCTCTAACTCGTTTTTTTTTTAAAACAAGTGTTACAGCCTCTCTTTAAATTTGAGATTCCTAAAGTTACTCACCGTTGATTCAGTGTTCATAGTCTAACTGCAAGATCAGGCTTCTTTGCAATTTTGCTTCCGGTCAGACGATTCTTGAAAGTCGCTGATGCGAAATAGCGCCGATGCACAGATTCAAATCTCACTGGTTCACACAACGGGGCCCCTAAACCCAACTTGACACGAGACCAAGATGCACTGCCCAACCATACCCTCAGGGGCCGCGTTGAAGGCTAGAAGCAAGCAACGCGGTCGCTTCTTCCGCCGCTGGTGCTGACAGCCCTGAGCCATCAAACGTGCGCTCCGCCCACTCTACTGCCCTTATTCCTGCATAATATCGCAGTAATCAACGACGTGGGGAAAATCGCCAACAAACCAGAACGTCGCCATCTTGAAAGTCGAAAAGAAAGGAAGCATAAGGTATTACGTCGCTTCCATCGATTTGTGAGGAAATGAGTAAGGGAACCTTACATTATTTCGAAGATCGCGTTTCCCCCTCCGCTAAGCCCTCTGCAACGAAGAAGCCGCTACTGCGCCTGCTCGTCGATGGCCTTGACTGTAGATTTCCGGGTATCGTAACGGGTTGCGGAGAGTGTTGCGGGACAGCGGAAACGATCTACGAAAACTGCCTAATATAAAGTAAAGCCGATTCATGATTCGTAAGTGCGCCAACTTAAGAAAGGAAAGGCGCTTATGTAATGAGGCTTCTTGAATTCGGAGGTAAAACTTCCTAATGTTTTGATAACTTTCCTGTTTATTTATTTATTACATGTACCCCACAGCGCCCGTGAAGGCATTATAGTGGGGGAGGGGCAAAAAGAAGAAAAACAAAGGGCGTCACAGAACATTAAGTAAAAGCACTCGCAGCCTGCAGCAAGGCATAGAACAACATGAAACCAGCCCTGCGAAAATGTAACGCAGAGAAACGCGCTCATTGTTGCACCAATACCGAGAGGTATTCGGGTCCTGTTCCCGAATACCTCTCTGATCTCTTTTAATAATTAGGGTCCGTGTCGTGTCCTGTGCAGGGAAGCTGAGGATCCTTTGTCTGGTTTCCAAATGTCTAATGCTTGCAATAAAGTTTTCAAAGCTTATAAAATATTCGAAGAGTCTGTGATATCGCGTCATTAACTTTCTTGGGGTCAGTCTTTCCACATCGACTGCCTCGTTTCCTGTTCCTACAGATCGGACTGGCGGTAACCGCGGTTCAGCTTGGCCGTCTTTGGTGTCAAGTAAAAAGTCTGACGACAAGAAAAAAAGCTGCTGGGTGCACTAGACAGCGGACGCCATCTTGAAAGATGCTCCCAGTGTGTCTACGTCACCACAGAACGAGTTTTTTGGTCTGGTGAAGAGGTCGTAAGTGAAATACAACTGCCGTTTATTTATCACGCGCTCAGATATTCTTTCTCTTTATGTTCAGAGTAAGGACCAGAGACAGAGTGGTACCCTCATTTAGTATAAGTGAGAGTGGATTAGTTCCTTGAAAGTTTTGTGTGTGTTTCGGTAATGTGCTCGCAGCCACTTTGTTGTGAAAGATAAGCGAGTGTTCGTGGCTAGGTGAGTTGCAAGGTTCGCGGTTGCATCGTCTTATTATTCTGGAGTTTATTACGGGTCAGTCGCGAGCTTATGTAACACGCAGTGCACAGTTGTCGGCGATCCGGTGACTACGGGCCCACCGATTGCTAGTCGCTACGCTCGAAAGTCCTCTAACCAATTCGTTAGCAGGTTGAAGACATTACTGGAAGCAGGTAGACTTCATGTCTGGAAGCAGTTTTGCGAAAGAAGTCTCCCTTTCCGTTTGCTTGAATGATGCTAACACACCATCTGTGCAGACTGCTTATGTAAGACAAATTTGATTATTTGCAATTCTTACAGGCAGTTTCTCAGTTCTGCCATCTACTCTATAACCATTGCACACGGCAAAAATAAAGTACCTACGCTAGAATATGTTGCACGAAATTAATTTTCATTCATTGTTCAGTAGGTCGTATTCACGGCCGAAAAATTATCCCACGACCTGTCGAACGTAGTTACAAAAGCGGTCAATTCCTAAAAAAAAAAAAAAAGTAATACGCGTATTAACTAAAAACAAATTATTATAACGTCATTTCAAAATGTTTTTAGAAGTTCGAACGCTGTCATTATTCAGCAGTTTAAAACTGACAGACAAGTGCACGTAGCTTTACAAATCGTCCGCGTCTACCAGGAGGGGCCATGAAACGATTTTTCTACATTCGCTAACTACTCAGAATCACTCCCTAATGTTAATAACTGAATAAACTTGCCTTACTTTTCCTCTCTAAGCAATGGCAGTCGGCAAATAAATACCAGAAATATGAGCATCGTTCATCCTCTCAACTCTCAGCCAGAATGCCGAGCTCCAGGCATTCTTAGAGTTTGGCTATTCTCATCACCGAAGTGGTTGAATACGAGCCACTATCCGAGTGTCTGCCGAGGCAATGATTGTTACGAGCCGAAGTCGAGTGCTCGCGCAGCGCTCAACCGTTGTCGAGCGGGTGGTTTCGATCCCACAATCACGACATTAAGCCTTGCGAGAGCAAGGCTGTAATAGTCCCATTTTATCTTCGCAATTTAACCGCGACCAAGGAGCTTCTGAATTAGTGGCGATCTGTGCGAGTATACTTTGGCCAGACTAGAACCAGTACGCCTTCTGTAAAGTAATGAACATTCCAGCCAGATATCGTTTCATAACCCCTTTAACTCCTCTACACGATTAAAGCCGTGTTCAAAACGTGTTTAAAAGAAAAACCGCACGCTTTTCATGAATAACTATAGTAGCTCTGTCTGTAGTGCATCCGGCTAACTTGCAAATCTCCGCGTTACACGCAAAGTACAACCAGTCAACCCCGATCGTGGCCGATTTGTAGTCTTGACATCACGGCAGAAGAAGCCAAATAGTTTCTTCACTAATTCGGGCTATCAAAATATTCTCTATCTGACTTTACACAACAAAACGTGGACATAATGTGATTAGTATTGCAACATTTAGGCATGCGCAGACTGGCTTAAGCGACGCCGCGTCCTTCAAGATGGCGTCGGGGGCTAGTTGCCTTTCCGTGCGACAGATGGCGCTCTTTTATCTGAAGGGTCTATTGTCCTTGTAAATCTGGCACTCCTTTGCTTGGTTTCTCGTTTAATAAAGGCTTCAATTAAACAGTTTAACGATTAAAAAATAACTACTGGCAAATGAGTGTGACAAGCAGAAAGTTCGAAAAATAGTCGTTACTAATTTATTAGGTTCTATATTAAATACTTGCGCTTTCGGAAGACGCTTGGTTCGTTATAAATAGGAAAGCCTGTATATGTTTGCCGAAGCAGGGCATGCATGAAACCAGCCATCTCCTCTGAGAGCCCAAGAGGGACACTTATTTCAATTCCGTCACAAAATTGTGTAAAACCTCTTAGTAGGTAAACTTTAGTTCAGTGATGCTTTCTCTCACGGCCAATTTATTCACAGATAGCAGTTTCATCAGATACATAAATACTCAATTGCGAACAGCAAACTTATTTTTACCATACTTTTACTTTAGGTTCCAAGTTGTCACATTGCACAGCAAACAGTAATATTCTAAGTCTTCACGGTTGCCACATTGGATATCCAGTCTCAGAGGACATTCAGACCTGGTTGCATCTTTAGTCTCGTTGGATATTTAGACTCGGACACTGTCTCAATTGGACATTTGGTCTCTATGGATATTCCGTCTCGCCTGTCACGTGACCAATTGGATCTTTTGGCTCGTTGGATCTTCAATCTCGATGGATATTCAGGCCGTAAGCGCAGCTGTGAGGGCGAGCGATTTCAGAACTTCTTTCTAGTCGCAAGTTTCAAGGTGAGGATCGTTTTTAACTGGCTGCATAAGTTTGATTAAGGGTGGAGACATCTGGAGCATCTAGCTTACCCGCCCAAACACACCCCAAAATTTAAGAAGAAAAAAAAAACCTACCGCGGAATCTTGAGCATTATCACCAATCAATACAACGATCAATTAAGCGTTTTGCAAAAATCCCAGCATCCACTTGTGTTCCTTACCCTCGCAGCCTCTACCACAAAACACTAAAAATCGCGGGAAAAAAAAAGGGCAGGGCAGCATTTTGCGTTATGCTAGGCAACAACCTAGAAGACCTACCGAACCTGCCGGAATGGCTTCCGCCGTGGGAAGACATGGCAGATATCACCGAAAGGAGGCCTCTTAGAAACAAAAGGCAAAAAATAAGGACATCACAAATGCGGTGGGAGTAATGGGAAGTGAGATCACACTCCATACAAACCTTTGCATTCCGATATGAAATACAATACAATGAGACCATCCCAAGAAAAATATAAACAGGCGCATTTGACAGGCAATCAACTCTTCTTTTAATTGATCGATGGGTGGAAAATAAAAACGCTGGTATTCCGAAATGCACGAAACATGTTAATTCAACGGGCGACTAGAAAACAACGGAATGGAAAGAAAAAAAATACCATCAATAGAACTTTAAAAAATTTCTAGTATAACAGTGTCAAAAATAGAAAAAAATCAAACAAATGGTAATGAAGGAATTAATCAAACGCAGATTGCAATCGTGCACGTTGCATTGCCATCTGGGCCTCAGGTGCGTCTAATAGGATTGTCAGCACGTGACTAAACACAGAGACAGGTACGTCTCTTCGAATAAAAAAATAGAGGACATATATGTCATCATCTGCTTTCTCCAAAGATGTAACTATACGGTGCAGTTTTCGAAATAAACTTCAAGCTCTTTAAGTCACTTCGAACACGACACACCTCCCGCATCGTCGCCACACAAACTTACGATGCCTACCCTTACTTCGAGGTCCAAAAACAACTTTGATACAACTATAGCACCTAAAAAATAAAGTCCCTTAAGTCGTTTGCACGCACTCACTTCCTTCCTTCCTTCCTCCAAAGACACAGGTCACGGTTCGACATCACCAAATCACACTTCCTGAGCCTCACTTCCGAGTCCGCAGTCGGGGGGGATCCAAAACCATTCACTCGTCCTCACCGCGCGCGCGCCTCGGAGCCACCAACGTCTCGACGAAACGACGAGAACACAGCTAGAATACAGCAGCCTTCCTAAACTTAAATATCTTCGTCCCGATACGGTTTCACGTTGGGCTTCTTGTTCGTCTGGTCGTTGGCACGGAACGGCTTGCCCGGCGCGTCTTCGGGGAAGGCCGCCGCACGAACCGGAAGACCGGAGTACCTGGCCGTACCCTTGACGCCGGGACCGTCCACCCTCCGTTGGCGGCCGGGGCAGCAGAAGCTGAGGCATGTCGTCTGCATGGCCAGCACCAGGCCGGTCACGGACACGATGACGACGCAGAGCGTCATGAAGGCCACGGTCATGGCCTTGTACCAGACCGTGGCGGCATTGAGCCTGGAGAGGAGGGCCTTGGGCTGGCAGAAGCCACCGTCCACGAGGTCGGCGTCCGAGAAGCACGACGAGCACTCGTTGTCGTTGGGCCCGTGGCAGGCCCTGCAGGAGTAGTGGCAGCGCAGGCACGCCAGCGTGCTTCGCTGCGTGTCCGCCATCGGGATCGGCGACGGGGTCGGGTACGTGCCTGGAGGACACTTGTCCACGCAGGCGCCCCAGGACGAGTACTTTGGGAAGGGACACTCTGGAAAGGAATCGGGGGATGAGTGCTGGGGACTCGTGTGGGTATAAAGAGTGGGCTACTGCCAATTGCATTCTAAGACCCCCGACAGCCAAATAGATCCCAGACTTTTTTTTCCCCTTTTAACTTAGAATATGGCTTTCCATTGACACGCATGCAGCTTATATGCTACACTGTTCTTAACTCTGATGTGGACTTCTTCACTCGTGTTGAAAAGTTCAAGAAAGTGTACTACTCGAGTTTGCTCGCTTGTTAGTATACTTTTTCTCTCGCCCCAAGTATGTTCACCCCTCCTAAGGCCTACCAGCTCCTTGGGGCATAATAACGCACAATTGATTAGTTGACCGAATAACGAAACTTGCGACGGAGACGAAAAAATCCTGTTGTACAGAGTGTGTGTTATAGCTATCTACAGTTACAATAGGGGTTCCTTGCCTTCGAGGTTAATCTTTTTCGAGTTCTCTCCACACATTCGGGTTTTATAAGTACCTATATTCAGTGTTGAAAAGAAAAGGCCATTTGTTGAGGCGCATGTTGAAGAAAACATTACAAGGATGAGATTCCCCAACCTGCAGGGAATGAGCCAGCGCAAAGACACGAACATACAACAAAAAAAAAATATGGACACGGACAGGAACGAGAAGGTAGACGAACAGCGCTGTTGTTCGCCTACCTTTTTTTTTCTTGTTCGTGTCTTTGCGCTGTTTTTTCCTTTTTAATTTTTAAACGAGAGACTTTGGGGGAGCCCAATCCATAGTCGATGACAGGTGAAGAACAAAGGGAAAGCTCCTCCCACCCCTTTCCACTTCAACGGAGCGAGCGCTGGAGGGGAGGCGACCTCCTCTCCATCGTTTGCTTTGCTGAAGTGGAAAGGGGTAGGAGGAGCTTCCACTTCATTTTTGACCTGTCACCGACTATAGGTCAGTGCAGGTCAATAGCGCCACCCGGATGTTGCTTCCGTAGTCAAGAAAGTGCCTGCACTCGCTTTAGCACGTGTTCACATATTTTCATACCAGAACCTCATGAACCTCGTTTTCTGCCAGGTGGCACCAATTAGCATTTCCAAGGGTGGATTTTATTTTTTGTTAACCTAAGACAAAGCCCACAAGGCTGCTTTTTTTTTTATGCAACTCATCCCTTATTTGTTTTACTTTTCCAAATTCTCGGGTCTTAAACGTCTTCCCCTCTGTTTGGGAAATTCCATTCAAGTCTCCAATTTCTCATAGGAACAGCTATCAGAGCAACAGAATATGCCAGCTCTAACACCACCTGGACCAAGCATGAAACAGCACACACATAACCAATGACGCACACCCCGAGTTTCCAGCACCATTATCGACGCACAATGATAATGGTGCTGGAATCTTGGGGTGTGTCATTGGGTGCGTGTGTGCTTTTTCTCGTTCGGTCGCCGTATATAGATTTGCGCCTTGCCTTTCTCTTTAGTTGTAAGTTCAGCGATGGTGTGTCCTTTCTCTTTTAACCTGTTTATTTGCACTTTATGTTTTAATCATCATTTATATCCCAGAACACTGTCTGCACGGCAGTGTCAATTTTGAATGCTGAAGAATTGCTTGTGACCAATACGAGCACTGTGTTTTGTGCAATATGTTGTACGTCTTGGGGAATGCAATCTTGTGGCTTGCGACCCTGCTCGGAAGGAAATCTAGTAGAAGGCACGAAAGCGGAGCCTTTAAACATAGCTAATAGTTCAGGTTTCTATAAGCAGTGTGAGTTGTTTTATTTGAGAAAGAAAAACAATTAACACGACTAATTAAAGTTTTCAAAATGGCAGCTCATAAAGCTAATAAACCCGCCCTTTCTTCCATTCGGCAGTTGCTCAGCTCGGCAAACAGAAAGGCAAATAGATATTAAATAACATGAAGCCGCTGATTATATTTAGCCAGAAAGGGTACTATGGTTGTGTACACCTTCAATGTGGTCCCCACTCAAACTCCAAATTTTCGGCGGGTGTGCAACACGCTTACGGAAAGAGTGCAATATGATTATGCTATTTCTACACACAGAGCAAGTGGTCCCATAGAACTACACTTATTAGATTAGAGTTACATAATGTGTTTTACTGCACTATATCGAAATATATATATATAGGGTAAGCAATATCTCATGATCCTCTTAATTTGGGAAATATCAACTATCCCAAGTTTGCTGCTTAAACCCTGCTCCCATCTTCCCCAAAAACCAATTGTACACCTATCTAGTCTTTGGATAAGTCACCTAATTAGTACCCCTCACAAAATTATGTTTCCAATACGGGTATTCCTTTAGGGGTATTCATAAGTAAAAAGTCATATGATGAGAGTTCTTATGCAACACCAAAGCGAGCGGCCACAAAATTGGAGTTCATGCTCCAATAACTACTCACGAAAAACATACTAAAAATTAATGTACAGTTTCGAATATCCCATCATGTCCCAATTCCAAAAAAATCAACAGCAATGTAAGTACAGCCATGCCGAATTGCTCGTAGCATGCAAAGGTATCAGAACAATTATTAGTTGGTTAAATACCCCAAAAAGAAAATGAAAGTGCATGCGTTCTTGGTTAATGCAGATGAAAATGAAAGTTAGTCGTGCAAGCAGCAAATTTCATGCATTGACAATATCCAACCTATTCACAAACCAGCAAAGGCTCAACACAGAACACTCCACACATAGTATACATCTCATATGATCAAGATGCCACAAAATCTTTCACAGCAGCCAATGCCAGGATATAAGGGTAATTATGGTCACTACTCTATAAGAGCTCCAAGATACAAACATTCAGCTAAACATAGCAAAATATTTGGCTGAACATGAACAAAATATGAACATGAATGGGCAATGGCAAAACCAAAAAAGCTCAGCAACAAACAAAAAGGATATCATATAAAGAATACAAATGGCCATGAAAAACTATCTTTGTACATACACACATGCGGTAAAACTGCCAGCCAAAGCAAAGGACATACGATAGGTTCAAAATCAAATAAATATATAGAATCCCACGGAACAGGACATGTTAGTTGGGTGTTAAACAATGACACCAAAGCAGTGGAGGATGCTTAGGGATGTAACAGTCAAGCGAATTTGCCCTAGCATTAGAAAAAACACATACCTTGGAATCTGTGGGTTACATTGGCCTCTGAGAAGTCGAGAAAACCATTGGATACGATCATCGGGGGCAAAGTTCTGCTTACAACATTTTCAGATCAGGATGATGTCAGATGGTGGCCATCTTGAATGTGCTCATTCATTTCGTTTGACAAAAATGATTACAAATTTTTTCGCTCTGCCATTCATAACAAAGTTAGTAGGTATGATTGGACTAAATATTTCCATTACACACACAACTTCTTAAATGTAATAAGAAGTTTGAAAACAACAGCTTTGTGCGTAATATTCTTTTTCCTTTAGCAGTGCATTGATGGTTACCATTTTCTCCCCTAAAGGACTGTGATGGTAGTATGTGGCATAAAGCCATATTCTTTTCTAGAAATGCAAGAACTAAAACAAAAAAAGCATTTCACCGTCACAAGAAGTATTTTAGCTAAGTAATGGGTTCTCATTATTTCTCAATATTTACTGCTGCAGGAAATTACGAGAACCCGCCTAAAAGGCGTAGCAGTTTGTTTACAGCTTTGTGTGGGATTTTTTTCCTTTAGCAGTGCCTTAATGGTTGCCATTCTTTCCCCTAGAGATCTTGATGTGATGGTACTGTGCGATATAGTCTTTTTTTTAACAAAAATGCAAGAACTAAAACAAATAAAAAATTTTACCATCACAAGAAGTATTTTAGCTAAGCATTGGGTTCTTGTAATTTCTTAATATTTACAGCCGCAAAAAATTACGAGAACACGCCAGAAAGGCGTAGCAACAAAGCAGCATCTTACTCAGCTTAATAGCTGCCTCACAACTATGACATCTTCTCCCGGCTTTGATTCACAGTAGCAATGCAAAATTGCCTAATTACTACTTTCTCCCCTTAAAACAAAGAAGCTTGAGATCTCATACTAACATGGCCACCATGGGCCCGTGTTAGCATAAAAGTTCATAAAATGGGGCTAGTTCTCGCAACTGGATGTTATCAGGTTATCTGCACAAGCAAAAGGTGAAAAAGTAAAAAAACAAAACAAAAACAAAATATGGCACATGGCATTTTGCATAAGCAAACCTCGTTTTATTACATGGCTTTGTTCCACGCTTTTTACAGCTCTCGATAAGGAAATTCACAGCCAATACCCAATCTCTTAATCGCAGCCTGCAAACACGCAACTGTGTCGGTCTCAACAAATTTCCGAGATTGCTTTGCCTTACCAGTACGTTACCACAAACATACATACAAACATTTTTTCTTTTTGTTTTTTTCGTCAGAGCTTATTGCAACATTTGTCGCAATGGGCTTCATTTCACCGAGTCACCAAACACCGTTCAACACAGACTTGTAATTCTATGGAGTCGTGACTAACACAAAGTCGGACCCTGAATTTTCTTTTCACTTCCGAATAGACAAAAAGCACAGTTTCTCCTATACACGAACAAAGACACGCCCCTTAATAAAACTGACCTGGTCCATTCAATATATACACATAAGAACATGTATTCTATATATCCATCACTGTACAATATGGGTTTGGTGGTTTGTTGGCGCTTGGGACTTGGGACTTCTTAAATGCAGTGATAACACATTCCTTTTGCCGTGAATAACCTGAAGGTCTGGTGTCCACATATACCCTGTCGCTACTAAAGATTGAAATAAAGTATTTGGTTATGTGCGTATATAGCATACAGTGCATGCTGAGGAAAACAACTGTTACATATTGTAACGCTTAAAGGGTTGGATCGCATTTGTGGGTATTGGAAGCTTATGACTGTGACACACACATTCTAAAGCAACGATTATAGGAATATAAGTACACTGTTTAGGTCCTTTTAAGTAATCATGAGCCGAAATGAAAGATGTGCCAAGGTTTTTCGAGAGTTTAAGAGCTGCTCAATTAAAGCGGTATAATCAATTAAATTTAGATAACTATGGTCCAAGACACATTTTAAATACATTTTAGATTATCTCTAAAAAAGCAAAACTTGAAACAAAGCAGCATTGTTTCCAGAAGTTGTAGATACAACTATGGCATAAAAATTCGTTCAAGAGTTCCACACCTCGTCTTGCAGTAATCACCGATACAGAAGATAAATTGGGTGGCTGGATTGGATAGCTATAACATTTACTACAATCCTTACTTGGTAAACATCCAATTGCTTTAAAACCCTAGTACTGGCAGTGTATAATGCCATGCATTTACCGACAGAGCAAATGCGAGATGCTTGTATAAAGACTTCAAAAAATAGTTTAACAGATATCCTGCAAATAAGAACTTAATTTGTGCTGGTAAACAGCAGCACATAAATGGTTAATACAATAACCTAACAAGGTCCCTCAGCAGAATTACTTCAAAGCAATGTAAGGCTAAAATATTAAAGCAATTAGTAAGAAGTATTTGGAATGAGATAGTCATAACCTTAAATGAAGAGATGTTACAAATCATTGTAAATTATAACTTGCTCATACAGTCCGTTCTCAGGAGTAAAGTTGGTCTTAATGCCACTAAGGTCGAAAACAGAAAATATTGAGAATGAAAATGCCCAATAATTAATTAAGTAGAATTCGTGACTCCTCAATCCGGCAGAAGAGTCCGCCCCAAACGCTGAATGAGCACATAGACTTTGACCAGCTGTCTGAGCAGTAAAGAGGAGAACAGTCCAACTTTCAATGGAATGACATTCTACATGCTAAACACCACTTCCGCCATGACACCACCCACCTACACACCACACCTGACATGTGCATGGCCATTTAAAGTAGTGAACTTAATGATGTCCACACAAGTATCTACATGGTTAAACCATTTACAAGATGTACAGCCACCTGTATTATCCACTAGTATACATAGTAAAATAATGAAAACTGCTGAAAGAGCAGGCCTTCACAATTTACAGTTTGGAACAAACACTGCATAATCTGTACCCTGAAACATGGTTTAAAAACTAACAAGATTTTGCAACGTCAGCAAAGCCCTTCTGCTGTAAAGTACAATGTTGAAAGATACAAAAAAATCTTTAAGGGTTGTTCTTGTCTACCAAAAATATTTCAAGGTTATAGCTAATGTTCAGTCATTACTTTGTTACCTCAATGCTTTAAAGTAATCAAGGCATAACAAAGAAAGTGAAAACTTGTTCAATCTATAAATGACATACCTTAACCTTACTGGTACTCAAACCATCAAAACACTTGGCAAGATGGTCAGTATTCCAAATTTCTAACATGGCACTCCTCTTATGGAGAGGAGAACAGTGAATGCAGTAATTTCACGATGCAGGAAAAAGTCTATGTACAGAGGTGAACGCAAGGTCATCACATACATACACATATGTACAGGCGCTGTATAATCACCTTCAGTGATTGCAAATCACGACTTGGAAGAATACTGAAAACAATGTGGCTGAATGCTAAAGTTTCACCATCTATAAATGCCCGAAAATGTTGCAACGTCCTCGAGAAACTATATGCTCTGTAAAACCATCAACAGATTTTGTACAAGTTACCATAGAAACCATACCGGAAAATACACCCTTCTAATACCGCTGCAGAGTTCTAAACAATTCATCATGATCATGCTTTGTGCCCAAAAATGAAATCCATTTAAATACAAAATCAAACAATTGCAAATAAAATACAGAAAGTCTGACATGGCTTTCAACAAAAATCACTCACAAGCCAGAGCTCCGTCCGTACATTCTAAACAAGGTATACAATCAAGATTACATCGACAGTGCTGAATTGGTAATGAAATTAGGCAAAACAAGAGAGAGTGTAACCCTGAAGTAGAGTTGTGCACAAAAAATTGTAACAGATAGATATCTGGGGATCGCAACTCAAAACCAAGTTAATGCACAATATGGCACCACAGAAAACAAAAAATGCAGTCAGAACCTAGAATATAAATTTCTGTGTCTCGCAATTTCAGCTTGAAGTGCGCCTGAAAGGAGTGATTCATACAAGTAAAAATTTTAGAGCAGTGAGACAGAGAACGTTATGAAGATTGTTACCGCTCTCGGAATTACAAGGTCCATTGGCACAGTGAAGATGCAACAGTTTCACAATGCAGTCATTGTCGTCTGAAGTAAAAATCACATTAACATCCAGTACAGGTTGGCCATTGCAGATTAACTGACTTAGAGAGCTATGAATGGCATCAGTTAAAAATAAGTCAAAACAAACCGAAGGTAACAGAGCTATGCAACGAGCTTTAGTACGAGCCGGAAAATCATGACACTCTTCAGAAGTACCATAGCCCGTTCAACTCAAGAAGGTAGGGCGAGAGCAAGACGGGCCGGGGAGGAGGAAGCAGACGGAACACCGGAGAAGAGAGGGGGAAACCTCCTTCTCTCCTTAGCGTTGTGTCTGCTTTCTCCTCCCCAGTCTGTGTTGCCCTCGCCCTACCTTCTTGAGTTGCAACGAACTATAGTCACTTTCATGCGACCTTTCTCAGGAACCTGCAGGTCTATTAAAAAAAAAACTATGCCGAACTGGCTGGCAGAAAGATGCTGATGAAGCAATTCTGAAGCATACCTAGCTAACGCAAAACAAATGGCCCTGGCAGTTGAATTCGAGCAAAAGGTAGTAAAAATGAGCGCAAAAAAGAGGCACTATAATTTCCCAGGCACTTTACAATGCGAATACAAAATTCGTAGTCTTAACTAAAATACAATGCCCTTCAGATGAGAAACAAAAGTGGTTTACAATTCGAACTCCTAGCCCCGGAGAGCTTCGAAGAGAGCTTAATGCGTCAATTTATCGACCCCAATGAGACTGACAGGGTTAAAAGACTGCCGAGACATTGCCGAGGAAGACAAAAACGGTGCAACGGTGGAAGGCCAAGTGCAAGTCCGGCAGAACGGCACACTCCCCTCCCCCCGAGCTCTCCAACGGCGAGTGTCAACAACGACAACAGTTCGCCCCAACCACCGCAACGTCTCTCCCGGCACGAAGGAGCCACAGTCGGAGAACACCGGCCCAACGCACGGGTCACACGGCGCATGCTGCACAGACACCGGTGAGGCGACAACATGGCGACCGTCACGCGGCAAAAACATGGCGGCGGTCGTCGCTGCGCAGCGACAAGAGAGCAGCCGCGGCGCCATCTCCGTTGGTCCGGAGTCGGGTGGTTAGTGCCAACACTGGCGGGGCATCGGGGAAGAGTCAGCGAGAGGGCCCGCCACCGTTGTTATAAGGCCAGCAGAACGACCAGCAGGCACGACCACAAACCTATGCACGTGGGTCCAGCGCGGCCGCACGGCGGCGCACCGGCGGCCCCCTGAGCCGCGTCTGGGCCGGCCGCCGACGCTGCAGTGCCACGGGCGGGGTTCTCCCGGGTCCCGTGAACCACTACGGGGTGCCCTGGGGGACCCGCGGCTGAAACACAACGCACACTGAGCCAAGGCGTGCGACGCATTGCACGAGGGGAGGACGCGAGCACTGCAAGAGGAGCCGGCGACGTGCAAGCTACTATGCGCCATCGCTTGATGACCGTCCCAAAGGCCTGTTTTACCTAGCCTAGCCCAGCTTAATTGAGCCCTAACCTAACCTATTCTTTTCCCAACCTAACTTTACACAAACCTCTTCCTCACCTGACCTAGCCTTAACCTATCATCACATTGCCTCACCTCACCCCACCCTTACCTCACTAGACCCTACCCTAACTTTTCCTCATCCTCATTTTACTTTTCCTCACCCTAACCTTACTCTAACCTTAACTTACTCTAACCTTAACTTACTCTAACCTTAACTTACTCTAACCTTACCTTACCTTACTCTAACCTTACCTTACTCTAACCTTACCTTACTCTCACCTTACCTTACTCTCACCTTACCTTACTCTAACCTTACCTTACTCTAACCTTACCTTACTCTAACCTTACCTTACTCTAACCTTACCTTACTCTAACCTTACCTTACTCTAACCTTACCTTACTCTAACCTTACCTTACTCTAACCTTACCTTACTCTAACCTTACCTTACTCTAACCTTACCTCACCTCACCTCACCCTAACCTAACCCCCATCCTAGCCTTATCAAATCAGTAACCGAATTAACCACTTCTAGACTAACCTCCTCAAGCATAACTCCTGTAGAACAACCAGGACAACGAGGTCAATGCTCATCTGGAGACCCCTCTGCTGTGAATCAATGTGCACACAAACATCTGGACAAACTTGCAAACGAATCTGCAGATTAGCCTGGAGGCTAGCATGAAGACCGACTGGTAACCCAGCATACTAACTTATATATTGTGCCATCATGCTTATTTTTTTAATTCTAATTATCGTCTCTCACTTCTCTCTTGAGTAACTAGTTATCTGAATTGTAAAATGCTGTCGAGACAATGCTCGAACAATCATCAAAGCAAATGGGAAACCGAAAATTAAGTACAATGGAAATTGGTATGAATAAATCGAGTTACGTCTGTTGGGTTTGTGACAAACAACAATTTGACTGACAACTTCCCAGTAAAAGAGGTACTGCTGGATACTTTACTAAAGGCCCTGCACTATCTCCTCACCCACATGAATTCGGAAGCAGATTTAAGCTGTAAAAATACTGGGTATCCCACAAAAAAGGGAACCATGTTTTTCAGCCAGGGAAAATTAAACTCTGCATCACAGAAAGCTCAATTTCTGTGAGAATGTGACTCTAACAGTTAGGATAGAAAGCGAAAGTTTGAGAACATGACGTTACCTGGATCAAAAGATAATTGAGAAAGATTCAATTTTTCCTTTAGCTGATGTACACCTAAGTCTAACATCGTCAAAACAAAAAACAACATTGTGGATGTCTAAGGACCTATTTGAGTAGAAAAAAAAACTTGTGAGCAAGAAAAAAAAAACAATATTTTATTTCCTGCTGTTAAGTGTTTTTCTTTGATATAAATCACACAAGCAACTACAAACTCAGTTCCTGCTTCAACGATATCAGGTCTAGGTGGACGTCGGTTCAAAGGGACTCAAACGTTCGCATTATATCCTTACCGCTACTGTCGCATTCTCACGGAGTTTGAGCTTTTTATGATGCACAGTTCAATTACCAGGGCCGAAAAACATGGTCCTCTTTTCTAAGGAACGACCTGTACTTTGACCTTCTAAAACAAAACCAACAGGCCATCCGGCCCTCGAACAATTGGGTTGACGGCCAGCCAAGCGTCGCCTAATTTTTTCCCGACAAACTATAGTGTGTCTTTTGAATGGAAAATAAGTGTATTATTACTATCATTGTCATCATCATAGTTGGCCACTTTATTTTCGCCACACAGGAAATTTCGGTTGTTCCCTGCCGTCCCATGTTCCGGCAGCGTCCGCCCCATTTCCAGAGACACAGGGTGCGCACTGGCACGTCGCATCATGCTTACGTTCGATGGGTACGTTTTTTGCCTTCGTACGGACGACACCAAAGCGTGGGGGGGAAACAAGAGAGCTGCAGTGAGAGAGGCAGCGGTGCCACAGAAACGCAAAGTCACATGCTGAGCAAGCTGTGCAGGCGCACGCACACAGGCAAAGCGCAACGGCACGGGAAAATGAAAGCAAAGCTTCCTACGTACTAAAAGCCTGCTAGATAAGCTTCGTTTGGCTGGGACTACAGCACTGTCCCTTCAGCTCCCGCTGCTCTGCTTTGCCCTTTGACCACTGGGCCGCAACATTTTTCATTGCGCAAACGCTGGATAGGCGGCGAAACCGGCAGACCAACTCGAAGGGTTCAGCCACGTTCATTCGTTCATCACCCTATTTGGATAGGACAGGTGCAAGCTACTCGTTTCTCTTCTATGTGTCCTCTCGGCTAAGTGATGTCACCACCCTCAGATTCGCAAATTACTGCAAATCATTTTTTTTTTACAATTTCTTGGAAGGGGTTGAAGGAAGAATGGGGGTACACCCATTTCCCAATTCCTATGTCACATGATCCCATAGTTCAACATGAAGGAGATGCGCATTGCACCAAAGAAAAACAAAAATAAGAAGAGAGTAAGAGAGACGAAAAAAATTAAAGACGTTTACAACACTCTCAAATCCCGAATTAGAGCGCAGCTCTTGAAGAGGAGGAGGGGAAGGTATGGAGGGATTGGTACACCCCTCCTCCCCTCCTCTTCTCCCACTCCCCTCCCATTTAGTGGGAAATTTTTGCTACATTTCTTGTTAAATTTAGCGGGAACATTTTTTTCGCTAAATTTAGCCGGGAATCTTTTCCTTTATATATGGCAGGGAGAAATTTTCTCCTCCTCCTCCTCCTACCTCGTGACCCTCGTGACGTTACACGTGACGTCATTATGGGAAATGTCTCTTAATGCAACGCGCGGTTACGCCAACGGCGACGGCGCTCAAGCCGGAAATGGGCGCCTAAGAGCTGCGCTCTAAAAGTAGTTCTGCATGCATTTTGCTGTTACAACCGCAGACGTGCTGTCTGCGTTGCCCCGTTTCCTGGCAGTTTGGAATAGCAGATCTGCCAGACTTTTATTGTTGAGCATGCTATAGCAGAAAGCCAAGAGGCAGCAATGATCGATCTTTAGAGATTTACACCAAAGGGTAGGTAAATGAACCTAATAAGGATACACACAAAACAAATCAGAAACCCAGAGTTTGCAAACCAATGCTCGAAGTTATTCAAGTTTGCACCTTTTGTCGGTGTCACTCGATCAAAGGGGTATTTTTATGTATGCCATGTCGGGAACACCACTCAAAGTTTACACCGAAAGGATTCTTTCTGGCATATGTTTATACCATGGTTAATAGCAAAAGCCGGCCTAAAACCGATAATATGCCCATCTCTGAAAAGAGTGCTCACACTGATGGAGGTGAAAGTAATCCTTTTTTTTTTTTTCTCTGTACTAAATATTGCACTAAATAAGCTTCAGCATCATGATTGCTATCTGGAGAAATGAATGCTTTGGAGGTTTTAGATTAAAAGTAAGTATAGTGAGAACAAGCAATAAGAAATCGCTCTGCCAACATTATTTTCAATCCTGAACTATCTGAATATTATTAATTAATGTCATGGCTACACTACACTCAGTTTATCCAGAGCCCCAGTTTCTTATCCCCTAGCGTAAACAAAGGCAAGCCATTTGCGAACTGGAAACTTATTGAATGTTGCCTAAAAACAAACAAGAATTACAATGATAAAATACTCAAACAACAAGGCAAGCTGCTGAAAATTCATCTTTGAGTTGTTTTGAAGACAGTGTGTGTGTGGCGTCTCCCTTTTTCTGTTTTCCTCAGTCTCGAAGATTTTCAAAAAAGAATAACAAATTTTTGACATCATATATTGGTACATTTTACACCAGACATCCAAGTAGAAATAGAGACGAGACATTGAAAATTTCATGGTTGAATAATCTAGATATTATGAACCATATTTTGTTGTCAAAATGCTTGTAGAGCTTGTTCCAATTATTTGATTTCTCACTTCCTGCAGAGCAGATAGTGCATAATCCATTTCAAGGTAGTAACTGCTGTGAAACTGAATTCTATATAAACATTGAGCATTGCAAACTACTATGAACAAGAATTAGTGCAAAGGACAGACAAGAACACAAAGACGACGACGGGACTAGCGCTCATTCAGAGCCGGCACTTTAACACTCCTACAAGAGAAGGAATAAGTGAAAACGGTGCTCAAGAGACGAAAAGGACAAAAGAGAAAGAAAAAAAGAAATAGGAAACATTAAAATCGACGCCAGTAGTGAGCTAGCGCCAGTTCCGTTTGGTGTACTTGTCCTGGTCCGTCCTTCGTGCTATTTATCGTTTATAGTGGTTACCCACCTAGCCTACCTCAATCTTTTACTGAAAACTGCTACAAATGGGACTGCGCTCCTTTCTGAAATCAAAGTACAGAATCTGGCAGCGATGAAGTTAATACTTTAAAGCTTTCTTATTTACCCTTGCAGTCATGAAACAAGCAAAAAGTAACAATGCTGTAAAATAGTTCAAGTTATGAAAACACATGTCACCTGAAATATTACCCCCCCCAAAAAATAAAAAAAAATTAAGAATTAAAAAAATATTTTGCATACACAAGTCATACTATTTGAACTAACATTCCAAACCAAATGTTCAAGGGATATGTATGGCAACACTACAAAAAACAGGCAAGAAATATAGAAAAACTCTGCCTCACTAGTGACATTCAAACATGCAGCTTCCACTGAATACAAACATGCACACCTATGGTCAAATCGGTGTTTAGACAACAAAAAAAAACAGTTTTGGCATTGTTCATGCAAACAACAGTGAAAACAATTTAGTGCAGAACAAGCTATTTTTTGTTGAAGGGGAGCAAGTCACACTAGCCAGGGGACACAATAATAGGGATACATTTCGGCAAAACTTCTGCCATGCTACAGAAACCAATCTGCAGTGCTACAGTGCGACGTACATAGAGGTCCCAGCAACAACAAACCGCCATCACAACAAATGCCTAACCAACAATCAACAAACTTCATATGTTATAACTAAAAAAAAAAAACACTACCTTCCTCATTATAGCATGGCCTGAGGAACAAGTTCTATTATGGTAACAAACATAACTAAATCTGTATATTCCTCTACATTGTCACCAATCAGCCACCTGTCCATGCGTGGCTTTGTTACGAGTAAATAGGATTACAGCCAGTGTCTTTAACAAACTATTCAGAGCCAACTGGGGAGGACTCTTTGAAACAACAGGACAAATACAAAAGAAGAAAAAAACTGAAAAGGTGAAGCGCTTGTTAGCCTATGAATGCCACTAACTGCTATTGTCCTATATAGAATGAGGCCCAGCCTCAATACCATGATAAATGCCAGGGGCTGCCATCTTAGCAATACCAATTAATAGTGCATTACATTTTTCCATGCTAACAAGCATCATTACTAAACAAATGAACTTTCTCAACAGAAAAAAAAAATGGCTAAAGAAGGTAATGCATTGCAATTTACCACAAGGGTTAAATTGCAGCGGCGTAAATTATTTCAGTCTAGGAAAGTTGAACAACGTCTTTCTCAGTGTTTAATGTTACAAATTCAATTGAGGTTTTCCAATGGAAATGATTCAGTCAAGGTCACCTTCTGTCAATGTAAAAAAATGCCACATTTGATTTCTACATACTGTCGTAATTTAAACAATAAAAAATGTCAAATAACGGTAGTCTCGAATTAAACACCACTAAAAAAGGTAATGTTTTTTCTTTCGTATGACAAAACATAGGCTTCATTTTATTCTTATTAATAAAATGAGTGCGCATAACTTAAAACTTCCTATTTAAGTAGACTTGATAATCTAATACATAAAAAAGTCTTCCCAGTCGCACATTTAGAATCGATTAGTGTCGTAACTTGGCGAAACAACACATCCGGTTGTCTTTCTTTCAGATTCAATATTGTTTAAACTAAGTTGTGAAGAGCTCATTTGTTAACTTGCTCTTTCCTCAATAATTTTTGTATTTCAAACGTTGTTTTTGTTGTGCTCGTTGATGCATTGAGTTGTGAAAAGAGTACCTATTTATCTCAAGCGTTTTGCATTATTTAACGTCGCTGTACTTCTATGACAGTTCCCTCATTACGCTTTTGGTATACACGTGCGTCTATAGCACGACACCTATTGCTAGTTGTAACTTTATTTAGATGTATGTATATATATACTGCAACTTCTCCAACTTTCTCGCTTTCAAATAAATGAAACTAATGAAATGAAGTTAGAGCAACGATCGGGCCGTTTCGACATCAGTCCCTTCCCTTTGGTTGGCACTGGCAAGATGGCAGCCCGGCCGCTTGGCCGGCTTAACGGCTAGGCTGCGACGGCACGAGAAAGTTGCGCAGCCAGTGCAAGAGCCCCTGGGCCAATCGAAAGCGCTCACCTGGGCGCCGGGGGTCGGAATGAATGAAGTTGTCGAGAGAGTCGACGGGCTCGCTCGGCGGTCGTTCCAGAGACGGCGGCGGCTTCATGGGCTTGTACACTGGGAACGTCTTGGTCGTCTGCTGTGCGGGCGTCGTCGTCTGCTCTTTTTTCGGTGCCGTCGTCGTCGTCTTGCGGCTTGCGGTCACGGTCGGCGGTGGCGACGGTAGCCCCTCCTTCTCTGGCAACTTGGGTGCCTGCGGCGTTGCTCCGACCCAAGCGTCTGGGTCTTCCGTCGTTCCGTACAGGATAAGGGACCACTCCCGTAGCGTAGCTTTGCCTAGAGGACGGAATACGGATCACGCAAGAAACGCACAAAAGAGGACGAAATACAAATCACGCAAAGATAGAGCATTCCGCAGTTTTACGGATTACCTTCCTCTTTCCATGTTACAAGCGACGCAAACCGAATTTGCGCGGATTCCCTCATTGTTTGTACGAGGAGAGAGTTTCTTCTCGTATTCTAGAGTGATCTCGTCGTCCTACCATGCTTCACACTCGTGTAAAATACCTACTACGTGAAACTGAGCGTCCCATATTTCTACGGACTGTCCGGCCATTTGTCTAACACAAGTGACGCAATCCGTATTTGTAAGGATTGCCTATCCCTGGATTTTACCCTTATCTCTGGTTTGCTTAACATAAGCCTCGTGCTCATGTTCTAAAGGCACAATGGCTGGGTCATCCCAACTAATGGTGCGTGCAGGTATAGTAGCAAATTCCCACTCCTAATGCTTTCAATATGAATCAGTGTTGTAATGGCTTACATTCATGTACTAATTACTACTGTGCAATGCATACCTATTAGCAGGAAATAGTAAACAAACTAGCACGAACTACGAGGATGTTTTGAGGACGGGACAGGAGGTGCAGAAGCATCTAATTTAATCCTCAATTTCCTCCACTGCACAGTCAGAACTCTAAAATAGAAGGGCAGTCGGTAATAGCTGTTCGTTTATGCCGATTGAAAACTCTAAAATAGAAGGGCAGTCCGTAGTAGCTGTTTGTTTATGAGGATCGAAAATATGCCTCAAATGTATATCGTAATGAATGTTTCACCTGAACTTTAACTTTTTTGTACTTACAGAAATTTTATGAAGCTTAAGACTAAGGTTTCAAAACTACTGCTTGGGGACACACACCTACAGTTAATTTAACAAAAAGCAATCCACTACTTCTGTGACTGAAATCATGCTCTACTGCAGTGGAAATATAGCGCATGACTATTATGTTTCATGTGAATTACGGGCCGTTAAGAATCGGAATATAAACAGAGGAACAGTAAAGCTAAAAAGCATGCAGCATTCATTCGGAGGTCATTGACTGGGTCAACCATGGTGGCCAGTAAATTTTACCATGCTCCATCACAAACCCTTCACCAGAACGCATTAGAGGAAATAAGGAATAATTATCGCTTTTCGTTAATCTCTTTTGTGGGACTTCTAACTCCATGTTAGGCAACAAGTTCTCTCTCTTGACTGAGTAATTCTGGCGGGGATCTGCTCCAAAATTTTAGATGTTGCTTTACTGTGTCCTTTTAGTATTATTATACAGAGCCATCTTCTACATAAAAGAGAACAGTTCTTTGTGCATGGGCAATGGTCAGATTATTCGGTAGTGAATGAATAAAGTGGTGAGAGCATTTTATGAAACAATTGCTCTTAATGCATTATAATGAAATCACATTTTTTGTTAACTACACATGATTTCTACCTTCCTTAGAAATCTATCTAAGGTGATAGTTTATTATTATTATTGTAAGTTATGTTATCACATAACCTAAAATACTTGCATAATCACCTAGCTATAGTTTGTGATCATATGACCTATAATGATTACGTGATCATGCGACCTATAGTGATAATGTGATCATGTGACCTCAATAATATTATAATCATGTGACCTATAGTGAATATGTGATCATGAGACTTTTAATTATGTGATTATGTGATCAATGTAATTATGTGATCAAATGACATCATGTGCACCTCCTAGCATTGAGGCGACAAACTATTTGCAACAACAAATATATATATAACGGCCGTAACAACACCAATGCATGTCGCTCCCCTGGTGCAGGTATAGAATATCAAACAACACAGCTAAAGGTTCAGGGTTTAATTCCTGGAAAGTGTGCTCTGTTAGGGCACCTGGCCATGCTATGTTTTCATACCAACATGCTATGATGACATGTCATACCAACATGTTACAATGTCTAGACCTAAAAATCGGCTCATAAAAGCATTCTGCTTTAGAGGAGCGGCAAAGCTACGAAGCACTTTATTTTAAAAAAAAATTTTCGACTATCCTGGTGCAACTGCAACGAAGAGGTAAGACTGCGTCGGAGACTAAGCTCACCGTAGTAACGCCCATCATTGTGTATCTCGAGTCTCCACTCGCCGTTGGGGCTCTCGCCCCAGGTGTGGACGCTCATGAAGGGCCAGGCTTGGAAGCCAGAGCGCGAATTGTCAAGAGGTCTTTGGGCTAGGAGGGTAGACCTGCAACCACGCCACACGGCATCCTCAAAATCTTTAACCACAACACACGTTTGAAAATACACTTTGGACGTTGAACTATGAGAGAGAGAGAGAGAAGACTTGCAAAAGAGGAAATACTAACGCGGGAGTTACAGCCAAGGGCCGAACGGTCATCGTTGCTTTGAGGGGGGGGAGGGGGGCGAGTATGCCAGAATGGCGGCACTTTTATATGCTCAGATGAAGATCAAGAGAAGGTAGAAACATTTTGTTTGTTTTGCTTTTTCAAAGCACTTTCTACTAGAAACACTCAAATCAAATCTATAGGAGAAACAGCATAGCTTCCAGAGTTTCCTTTATAATCTTTTGAGAAATGAGGACAAAAAAATGTAGAAATAGTGGTGATGGTGCTGCTGTATTACCCTAGGAGATGTCCCACTCCCGTTTCCTGTCATATTTTCTCTTCTCGAAAAAACACCTAGAGATAGCCCATGCCTAGAAAGCAGATATACTTGCTAAGGATGTGCAAACGCTGTTTCGAATTGAATAGTGCAGCGTCATCCTTAGCTTCAACATAGTTGAGGGCTGGTATGCCATGGGTTACCCTAGCACTGTGGAGCCTACAAAGAATGCAGCGCTATTCGATTCGAACCACCATTCGCGCACCCTTAAGTATGGATTTCGGGTGGTTCGTGCAATGCAAGTTTTGACAACCAGAGCATCTGTGCCTTTGACAGCTTAGAAGGCTATTAAACAAAGTTCTTCTATCTTTAAAAAATTATGACACACTTGGCATGACCTAGGGCATCTGATGTAGGCATAAGTGAACGAAAAACCAAGTCAAACACCTGTTCTTAATTTTTCTTTCCGTTTGCATACCAAAAGTTAGTTTACACACCTTCTTCAACTCCGTTCGACCTCCATGGACTGATGGGATATCATTTGGGGTGTTATAGCACCGTATTTTGTGGATCATAGTCTATATTTTTTTATTTATTTATTCAATATACCCCTCAGCGCCCAAAGGCATTACAGAAATGGGGGGGGGGGCATACACCGAGAGAAAAACAATAAACAAAATCTAGATTTGCAACATCTGATGTTCAGCACGGGCCATAACGGAATGTCCACGCACTTCCCGCCTGCAACCAGCCTGCATAGAGCCGACTGGATGGGCAAATTTCAGCAAAGATACTGCACACAAAAACTTCTTGTACACAGCACACCTCAAAAAATACCTGCTTTACCAGAGCACAATCAAGCTTGTGTGATCAGATACCATCGCTAACATAATCTGTCAGTGTCATACACCAAATCCCTCATGTCTTTCCATAATGGTCTTAGAAAAACAAATTCTTCTAAGGTCCACACCTGCAGATAGTCCGCACCATGCAAGATTAAAACTTCCATAAAGGCTATTGGGGAAGGGGATCCAACCCCAGTGGCTAAGTTGAGAGCTAAACCTACGAGGACAACGACACGGATTACATGCATGCATTCCCAACGCAGCGCTTGGCCGACGTAGCTGGATGCTGGTGCTTGCGTTAAACCAGTGAAGCACCAATTGAACACGAGCCCCTGCCAGACGCTGAATCGGCACTCGCGACCGATCTGTGCTTGTGCTCAATAGAGAAAGATGACGAACACCGAGAAGAAGAACACCGAGCTCAGCGGAAAACGTGACTTGCGCGGGTTCCCGAGCGTTTCCAACCGTTTGATCGGCGTCGTGTGGCTTACGAGGCCGCATTTGCAACACAAACTGCGAGGAGATGACAAACGTGTCGATCGTCTGCAAATGACTCTGCGTCTCTGCCCACTTTCCAGCTTGCCGTGCAACGACGCGACGCATGCGCCCTTGCAGCCGATCATGCAGGAGGAATCCGCCATTAAATTGCAAACACTATCCATAGTATGAGTTGGTCCCTCTCTAGAAAAAAATCATGAGTCATTCCACTCTGTGAAGGAGGATGAGCAGTAAAGCTGTTTAGCAGACGACACAGACCCGCCCTGAGGAGCCGGAGGAAACTGGACACGCGCGACGGGACTGCCACCCCGGGAGAGCGGAAGGAAAGGAAACTAGGCACGCAAGCGCTTGGAACGACGACAAAGAGAGGGCGGTGCGAGCATGGACATGGCCGATGCGGGTCACAAGCGGCAAATCTTTGAGAAACCTTTATTCTCTACCCGAGAGTCTACTGGTCTTGAAAATGGTGCCTACTGATAAGTGAATAGACCTACTGCTAAATTACCCAAGTATCAAGGAGAATTGCTGAGAATGGTGTTGCACGTGCAAGCATCTGCGGCAGTAACTGTTTCAAAGCAAAAGCCTAAAACAAATGGCATATTGCACACGCGTTCGTCAATGCTTTATTTTGGTTATTTACTTGGAATTTTTTTTATACGGGAAAGGCTTGCGGCGTGTGTGGCGGTGCGAGCATAGAGTTCTTAGTCACTGCACACCAAAAATCCATGAAACCCTAGCCATAAACAGCTACGCTGTAAAACGTAGGCTCTCTAGGAAAACAATCTGACAAAGTGCCTCCTATAGCCCAAGTTCCTCGCCAACAGTTTCAGAAATAGGGCACGCTCCCCCGATTGAGAGGTCATTCATTCAACCGTTCAAAGTTGTAGGGTCGGGAGGGGCGTACCTTGTTCCCGCTGGAGAGGTGAGGTAGATGTGGAGGTCCCCCCTCCTGGTGGCAGATAAGGTCACCTTCGCCTGAACATGCTCCAGAAAGCGCACATTTTCACAGGTCACATTCAGTTTTAGCTCCACATGACTCTTTGCCGGAATCAGCCTGCACAGAACAAAAAACGCCCAAGGTTAGCCGCAGCTGAGACGACTGGAGTCCAGAAAGAATCGGCGCGCGCCACATCTTTGGATGCCGTGGGTCTCGAGCACCGACGTCTCGCGGATCCCTCGTTTAAACGGCGATGGGTAAGGTGCAAGAAATTAAAGTAATACACCGATAATCGCAAATCTGAAATGCTGCGAACACCTTCATTTTTGCGGGCTCAATATTTTATGAATTTTGCCGAGTCTGAGACTTCTGAATGTTTGCTGCACACAAAATTTAATGAGTTGAAGTGACTGGTATGTATATTTTGTACCACGAGGTTACATACTATTTGTGCGATCTATTCTGTGCAACATTTTTCAAGTCACGAAATTCATGAAACTGGGATCTTCATAAAAATTAGGACGTTTACAGCAGCTTTATTTTATTCTAATATGCGGAAGAACCATTCCACAAAAGTGTGACGTGAAAAAACACCGAAACTGAACTTCCACGAATTGGACACAGAGGGCACCGTAACTCTGTCACTTTCTGCGCAAGAAACAATGGGTGACACCACGCGCACATTTTGCGTCTTCGACACCAATGTACAGTGACACCGATAAGATGGTTTATTCACTGTTCGACCAACTTCAGGAGTGAAGACTCGTCCAACTTATGGCGAATTTGCGTGGTACTTTCTGCGCGCTCTTTCCAGAGCGCGCGAGATCGGATGGTTGAAAGAGAGTGCTGTGGCCTGATCGCCTGCTTCGTTCCGAGGGCACCTCTCCCTCTCAGAGCGCTCTCTAGCACTCTGTCGGTAGCCATCAGAGTGCGGAGCGGCGCAATCGTCACCTCGTACTTGGACGGGGATCACGTGGTTTTGTTGATGATGGCCGGCAGTGGTCTGTGGTGGTGTGTGGGGTCCGGCATGACGACGATTGATATCTGGTACATTCTACAAAGTGCTTGTGCATTCGACAACTTCGAGAATTACGACGGACGAGACGACATTCGTTTGTGACCACATATATAGGAAAAGTCGACGTGTGAAGTACTCCCAGTGCTTCCACGAGATAGTTCATTTCCATGCGGTGATTCCGGTAAGCCTAACCGACGAAGGAACAGCTCGCACAGCTCGCTGCTGTTTTGCGATCGCTTCAAGAAATTCAGGTTTGGTAAAAGTGCGTTCAAAGGTTTGTGTTGTAAAATAGAGAGAAAGCCGAATATAATGCACTGTGATTTGTGTCACATGGCGATATGTGCTATATCCTGCTTGCACGATATTTCGCAGTGAGAAAAATGCAGTTTATTAACCATTGCATATTTGCCTGCTCTGCCGTACGCATGACCACTATCGCAGCACGTTCACTGTCGAAAATGCGGTGAATTGACAATTCTTTCCAAGCAGTGGCTTTCGTTCCGTTCTGCAAAAATCAATTCAAATACTGCTTTCTTTTTTTACATGCCGATGCGTAAAACAATATACGTCACAACCGTTATTTCATTACGTTGCAAGCGTAAATTTTGCTCAATCGTCCAGCGTACGCTGTAAAATATTTCTTTTTTAGTGCTTTATTAAAATTAAGAAGTTTTACTTCCAATACAGGTCTGAGAATCTCAGAACGCTCTGAACCCAGCAGTTGTGATCGGCTGAAAACGATCCCGAGTAGCTCTGGTGGCGAGGAGGGGGCGCTCTGCTCAATCAAGGTCAAAGGAGAGAGGCGACCACCCGAATTCACCATTAGAACTCGCGCACTATCGCCTTGGACTACTTCTGCTCCATGTTTCCATCATGCAATTAAACTGGAGTTAATTTTACTGTTCCATCAGAAATTCGGCACAGTCAAAAGAGGACTTGCAGCCCAGTCTTTTAAAAAGAAACATTGAATGGCCAAAAGCAACTTTTTTTAATTACCTGGATGGGATATGTATGCTACAAAAGAAACTTTCGCCGAAAAAAAACAACAACAACAAAGAAACTTTTAGCGGGTTATTTACTCTGTGATACTATATATTTTGAGGTAGGAAGGATTCTTAAACATACGTTTTTTTCTGAGACACCGATCGCGAAATAGAAGAGTTTTTGAATCTCTCCAGGGGGGCAATTGAGTTTTAACCCTTCGAGTGTTGCGTTTTTTTTCCCACATGCCGAACACTAGTTACTGTCTCAGTAACACTGTAGCGTGCTCCGTGAAGAATGTTTATTTATAAAATATGCAATATTTCATAGGCAATAAGTTAATCTATGTGTGCACGCCTCTAACTTCGGCCATTTTTCACATATTGTACTTTTCGAAACGCGGTATTATACAGTGGCACCTAGACCTTGACTCTTTTAAGCGGCCTTACTAAACCTTTGTTTATTAGGAACTGTAGCTTCCTTGTTTTCGGTTGTTAAACACGGAGTTTATTAGTTCTCTTAGATCTCAGTGTTTGCCTCAAAGCTTAAGGTTGAACGAAGTAGCTTCACCATTCTGTAACAATGAAAAAGGCGTAACAAAAACAACAGGTGCCCAAAGAAATAAAAATATTACAACATTCCATCACAAAATGACATTACAAAATAAAACATTGCTGTTATTAGTCACTCATTCATGCACCACTATACGTAAAAAAAAAAACGACAGCAGCAGTTGAGAGGTGCAGAAAACAAACCAAAACCACGCGGGAACGCACCCGAGTATACTCGGGCGTGGCGCTCAAAAAGTTAGTTCCTAAATAAAATATTTTAAAAATTTTGTTGCACAAGCATCCAATCCAGGCACTTAAAAATCTTTCTGGCGGGAGTTTGGAGTCCCTTTCAGATTCGTCCGTCAGCTAGTCAAGCAAGAAGTAAAGGAGGCCATTACTTGTCCATTGGCTGGGCCCTGACCATGCACATCTTCTGGGGCGGCGCAGTGACCCATCGCTTAGCCAGCATCACCATCGCATCGGCGTCCATCAGGCCATAGCCAAACGAGTGGCTCACTGAAAAAAAAAGAAAAAAAGAATCACGAGGAAACATTCACGCCTTCTCGAGACAGCCGACAGGGTATGCTTCCAGTCTCGAGGACAAGAAAGATCCAAGGCAGAAGACCTTGCTAGGAAAACTAGGCTAAACGCATATTCATGCTGCACAGTACTGCAACTCCCGGCCGGTTGGCATGTTTGCATTTGACTGCAATTGACCGCGTTACAAACGCTTGCAACGACTTACAACAAGATAACCACTGACGCCACCCATTGGGTAACCCTGGAACACTTTTGAGCACCCTGTGTTTTACGCATCATTCTTTCCCCGCAGGATAGAAATAATCTCGACCATGTTATAAGAGACTATTTCTCATAAAGTGTTAGACTCTATCACACAAATACTGCAAAAAAGTCGGTTTAGATAGACACAGATGGCGTCAGTGTGCTCTCCCGTCTTGAGCGGTGACAAGCAGTTGCAACACAGTCATCACACTCAAAGCAAATTTGTCCTAGCTCGACAAATTTTACATTTTGTGAAGTACAGTAGAACGTGGAACCTTCGACACTTCATTTGTGTTGTTCCACATACCATTCCAATGCTTAATCTGTGAACATATAACCTCCACTCACTCACAAAAAAAAAAGTCAAATTGGACGTTTGAGTGATTTATACAGCGTAAGGTTGGTCTGCCAGTAGGGGCGACACTGGTTTACACAGTAGATGAGCAATTTAGCCAGTGCAGTACAACCGCTAGCCTGGGGTCTTTAACATGCTCACGCAGTAGTGATATACGGCCGCACGCCGGTACGATGCTCATCCAGAATGAAACGGGCAGGGGTGGGGCTCGAACCCAGGATCCCTGGGTTCTGCAGTGCGAGCTTTCGCTCCACGCACGTCGAGCTGGGTGTGCGCTTCAGCCCACTCGGCCACCGATCCCCCACCACTCACTCACAATATACTTTAATGTGACTTATAATATAACAGCGAGGGAAACCAACATGCTGTTTTAGCCCCTCCATTTAAACAGAATGAAACCTGCTCTTGGTAAAAAGGCTATCGCAAATGCTTTTTGAAGAGTCGTCTCGTTGAGAAAAGCCGAAAGCCGTGCGACCCTAATATCAGAAATAAGAAGTTTCACTAGAGTTTGTTATTTTGAGAACAAAATAGGTGCCTTATAATTAAGCAAAGGAAAAAGCGATAAAAATTTAGAGATATCGCTCGCACAACTGAGTGGCTACAGGCATGTCTCATTAATACGAGCCCCGTTAATATGGATACCCTGAAATATAGACAATACTTTTGAAGACAAGATGGGTAAACATGCGCATTTCTGCCTCATTATTACAGACACCTCGCACTAAGGACAAATTTTTGGAGGAAAAGTGGTGTCCTTATTAACGAGACATCGCTATTGGGAATTCAATTAATCTCTGTACCCTACAATGGGTTTCAGTAAAGCAGACATCTAAATGTGCCAGTAACACCACAAATAGTACTGTATTGAACTTTAGCACAGTTTCCACTCCAAGATGTAAATTAAATAAAGTTTGAGTCACATTTTGTGTAACTGCTCCAAGTTTTTGAGGTTGGTCACATTAATAAGTGGAGGCAAGCGGTTTTGTTTCAGTGCTCTGAACAGTAGAAGTGTTTGAAAATTTTGTCGCAATTTACCAGATTCAAACTGCTTGGGAAAATTTCAGCGACCTGTTCGGGCGTCCCTAAAATTTGCCGTTAATTTAAGAATATTCAAACTCTTGTTACTGGCTGTCACATTTGTAACCATAAACGCTTTTCGAAACCCCATCGAGCAACATTGACAGTATTCCTTTCTTGACTGACGGAAACCAAGCGCAGCGACGTTGCCCGTTGCACTTAGTTTTTGTTAGGCAATGGTGACAAAGAGGAGAGGAGCCAAGTGAATGACCACCCGGTGGTGGAGGTGACGAAGCGTTGGCTCGAGTTCTAGTGGCAGGCTAACCTGTCATGGAGTGGGTCGTGAACCAACTGGACAGGCTAACAGAACTTCAAGTGGAAGCGGAAGTCGGAGGGGAGGCGACTGGCTGGGTCCAGTAAAACTGATCACCCGATACAAGGGGGAAAGCTTCGAAACCAAAATCCAAATCTAAAGAAACTCGAAGCGTGCAACTGAATCCGAGTCCTTGCCAAGCGCCGAAGCATCCCTTGCGTCCAATACATGCTCAGCGCATGTGATCACACAATGATGGGCTCGGATAATTGGTGCAGCAGCTACTAGGTGGTCTGACAGTCTACTAAAGACTGATGAAGACACTGGAGACAAGAGAGTGACAGTCAAGGTAGCCATGTACAGGGCAATAGAACAGCGACTCACCATTGCGGTTTACGCCATTCTTCAGCCAATCGCTCGCATGAAGGTTGGCTGGCTTGGCTGTTCGCACGACGATGTGCTGCATGTCTCGCCACGTCAGCTTACGGCTGCCAGAAGTTCGGAGAAACTTAGCACCAGGTTACGCAAGGGCGTACAACGCGAGAAATGTCATGGACGTACATCTAAGTGAGAACATGGACGTACAGAGTGCGACACAGTTAGTGCGAACAAGTTATCGCCGGTTTTTCCAGTTTTTCTCTTCGAAACCAAAGGATGTTATCCAAGTTATTATTGCTATGGGAAGAGCTCATTTAGTTCTATAATGTAAGTGATAACATTCTGTGCTCACTAATACTATCTAGAAGTAAAATGCGAAAATGCGCCGACGTCGTATTCGCGCTAACGGTGTCGCGATGTGTACATCTAAGCGATACTGCAACCGTGAGCTGAGCAGATAAATACGCGCCAACTTTTCAGACTTAAAAAAAAATTGTTTTCAGTCGCAAATCATAAACTTCAGTTTTCAAAAGCTAATGGGGAATGAGAATAAAGACCGTAATGTCCTTGTGTCACAAACTTGGGCCTCCCTAGAAACGTTTAGTCACTGCTTAAAAATGCTTCTGCCATGCAAGTGCAGCTTCCTCGAACTCAGTTAAAATGTATGCCTATTGTAATGTTACCGCACAGTCTGGCGGACATTGTGGTATGAAGTTGACATTCACTATTGTATACATTCTTTCCTATTCATTGCAGCAGACGTCCATATGGTAACAAAATAGTCACTGAAGCTTCATTATGGCTAGTTAGGTCTGGTTAGTTCAGGTTAAATTCTGAAGGTTCACTTACTATGGCCTGCCCTTGACACTAAAGATTGCACAAGTAACAGGTATATTTGAGGATTCATGCAAGAACAAAGGAAGTTATGAAGATACCATGTGGGACATGAGTAGCTAGTGCCAGAATCTGAGGCTTTTTATTCTATCAACCAGTTTAAAATGACAACCTTTTCTTTCATCAAAATCCTTTATCTTAAAATCACATTAATTGCTTTTTTTAGATTCTTTGTTTAAACCTGGCCATTACCCACTTCTGACAACAGCAAAAGAGCCATCCGATGGACTGTTACTGCGCAGCAAACGAACAAGGCCAAGGCAATTCAGTGGAACATCGCTTACTTGGCTTCCAGAGCAAGAGCGCAGATGCCTGCTGCCAGAGGAGCAGATGCTGAGGTTCCAGTGTGTGTGGAGGTGCAGCCATGGTGAAGGTCTGTCGTGATCTGAAGCAAGAGACTGGGTTTAGAGCTTGGAGTACTTACCTCCGGGCGCAGACCTAAGCCTGTAGGCATAAACTGCCTCCCAAGGGCCGGGTCCAAGACTCTTACTATACAAATACACAATTATATGTCTACTTCCAGAACTACTCACCTGCTGGAACTTAGCAAAGTGCCACCGACCCAGAAATAATTCCCAGGTTTTGCAAAAAGTGTTTGTTATAACAAAATTTTGTAATAAGTGGGCTAGAGTTTATACGCGTGAAGGTATGATAAGTTTGGTTTCAAATCGGCCATCTCCAGTGTTGGGAAGTACTTAAAGTACTACTTCAAGTAGGTTTAGGAAACTTGTACCTTACTTGAAGTACATTATCTGAGTGTGCACTTGTACTTTACTTAAAGTATTTTTTTTTCTGGTACTTTGAGGAAAGTACAATTCCCGACTTTAAAGTACATTCCCCAAATTTAATTTTGTTAAATTAATATTACGAAATGATGCTTTGTTAACTCCAAAGAAATACTGGGAGGGATATACGTAATATCCCGAGTCATCGCCCACCCCCCTACTGCCTGAAATTCGTTAAAAAAGTGGGGTGGGCCATGTCTCGGTGGGTGAGCACAAACACTTGAAAAAAAGCGGAAAAAACGCCTGTTTTTCTCTGCGTATCTAGCGCTGATGCACAAGAGATACATCAAACTCAAAACTCGATTTAGTTTCATTATTATATAGAAAAAAATGCTCACGAAAGAATATTTTACTATAGCGAAGTCCGTTGCTTGCATACGCGCTAGAAACACCGCCGATCTGCATATAGCGCGAACGTTTGTTCCGTGAAAGAATGTCACCACCATGTTCTCCTAGTTAGTAAAAAAAAAAAGAAAGAAAAGTCTACAAGAAAATAGAAAAACCGACCAGGCGCAACGAGCGAGCGAGCGAGCGGACCAAAGAAGCGACCAAGAGCAATGCTGGGAAAGCGGGAAAGCCGGCGGTCGCGTTGGCAAATACTTTGGCGTCGGGCCAAGTCGGGCGCCTTGTCAATTGCAAGCTCTTGCGCAACTTTCTTGTTTGGTGCGTACATACGTGCGTCCGTGCACGGCGGGCTATCAATGCACGGTTGGGACGCTCTGCAAACGTCTGTGTAGGACGTTCCAGCAAAGCTTTATTTACGCTTTGGCTTTGCCTAAAATATTGCACAACCGCGGTCTCGACGGGCGGGAAGAAGGAGCGGGTTCGCGGTGGCCTTACTTCGGCGGAGACAGACTTTGACCTAACACTCCGCGGTTACATTAACAAACTCTTATTTTGTTATCTCCATCGTTTTCTTTTCGCACGGATACACGACCACTTTGGGGTCGCTCACGGAGGAAATGCGTAAACAAAAAGAAGTGTCTTTCCCTCCTTCGTTTTACTTTGTCACGGACGTCCTCGAACTGTAAGGTCCGCGGCCGCGTCATTCGGGTAGGATGAGTGTTCGCGGATCGCAGAGTTCGCGCTGGGGTATTTGAAGGGGTGGGCGATGACTCGGTGTTTTTTCGGAAATCGATATTGGCCCCAAAAATAGGGTGGGCGATGGCTCGGGGATGGGCGATGACTCGGGATATTACGGTACTACTTTTTCCAGAAACGTGAGTAGACGATGCATCACTCCGTGTGTTCCGGGGGTGGCTTTCCCATAGCTTTTTGAACTCTCGCTACTTCTCGGTCAGTCAGTGTGAGCGAGGAGGATTAAAATATTAAGCGAGCAAAATTAATCATAATGGAGCACCTGAGACTGTGGTGCGGAAATATTAAACTTTCGAGTCGAAGAAAAAGACAACAGAGGAGAACGTCAGAATGTTTTGAGACATTCTCTTTTGTCTTTTCCTTCGACTTGAAAGTTCCTTAATTTTTTCGCACCCCAATCTCAGGTGTCTTATTATGATTAATTATCACCAGCTCGCTTGCACACTCACTGTTTTTAGTTGTTTTTTTTTCATTAAAGAGAGGACACTCCTCTATGAGAGGATTGCTTGCGGAAGCTACAGGGCTGACGTCATGCTCTCTCCTAGTACATCTAACTTCCCTTGGGTGCAAAAATCCAGTGCAGGAAAATCACTATAAAGTGATTTTCAGGAATTTGGCCCAATTCCTGAAAATAAGTACTCTGTGGCCACTTTATCAAATATTTGCCGCTGTTCTTGAAAATAGGTCATGCAGCCCTAATTACCCCTGAGCAATGCATACTAGTTAAAAAATCACTGTATAGTGGAATTAAAGGGTATCATGAACGATTGTGTTAAAATACTTGTACTTTACTTTGAAAGTACATTGTATTTGTAGTACTTTACTTTAAGTGCATTGCACCAAGTGTACTTACTACTTTACTTGAAGTGCATCACGTCTACTTTACTTTGTACTTTACTTAAAAGTACCTCTTAGATGTACTTTATCCAACACTGACCATTTCCTCTTAATGTGTTCGTTATAGCAGAAGTGTGTTATGGAGTGAGACTGTTACAGTTAAACCTGGATGTAACGAACCTGTATTCAACGAAATCCTCTAATTAACGAACTTTTTCGATTCCCCGACGCGATCCTCATAGAAGTGCTTATATTTGTGAACTCCATATAACGAAGCACTCGCACTTGATAACCTTGATTTAACAAACTCACTCCGCCGCAATCTCCATTTTTTTTTTTTTTTTGACTCCGATAATTTGGACTTGTTCGATATTTCGGACCTAAAGGCTGAACCGTGACTTACCCCATAAAAATAGTGTATATTCACGACCAATGTTTCGGACAACTTGAAGTCGATTATTCGGACAAAATTGTTGCGAACGATCAGCGGAAAAAACCATTGAGAAGCGGCCATTTTGAATATTATGTTGGCTGCAAATGGATTGGCTTGGTTTAACACCACTACTGGCGCTACTTGAGTACTCCTGGGTCCTACCGCTAGGTGATGCTATGTTAGCTATTTTTTTTTATTTAGCTGCACGTCGTCATCATCATCATTATCATTTCGCTTTTCCCGTTTCCTTGCGTCGACAGTCGCCATTTTACGCTCATGATTTTGCGCCTCTCATCTCGTTCGGACAACGCTAGCTTGGACGTCATAGCCCCATCTGTTCTTTTGCCGCCGCGAAACCTGAAACAAGGCACTATTTACAGCTTTTTTAAGCCCACTTGGAAGTAATAAAGGCAAGTTTTTCAATCTGCTGATTTTTCGGACTGCTCTATTATTCGGACGTTTCTTCGGTCCCTGCGAAGTCCGAATAATCGGACTTCGCAAACAACCTGTATAAGAAATACAGGTTGTTTATTTTTTGTTCAAACAGATTTATAATTTTAAAAAAGCCGTGAAAGGCACGCTAATCCAGTCCATGCAGGTGAGTTATAACGTCAGGGGGACATACTAATATAAGAGGAAGATCATCCTGACAAGTCCAATAATTAACTAAAATTTGTTCATTGATTTCTTAATTTTGGAAAATGAACACATGGTTCCAATTAGAAACTTGCTGAATGAGGTATGAACTGTATCGCCTTTGCTATATGTTGTTCCTCCCTGCCACGGCCCACGGGCCAGCAGTATGTATAAATAAATAAATGAATAAATAAATAAATGTCATTAAAATCTGCCAAGTCAGTGAAATTTAGAATGATTTGAAGCTGCGGTAAATCCGGGGTGTGCCCAAGTTTCCGCTTGTGCATCAAGCACAACGACGGAGCTATGAAAAAGTGGATGATAATCTTTCCATCCGCACTTTTGAATCACCAGCATTGTACAAGTTGCACCAGCATAAACTTTGGCACACCCGCGCACTTACCATATGCTTCAAACCTTCCCGATATTGAGCGATTTAGCAGTTTTCGATGACGCTCAGCAAGTTTCTAATTGGAACCATACCATATATTCACTAACTAAAAAGTTAATTAACATATTTTAGTTAAATATCTGACTTATTGTGCATATTAGCCTCTTACATTCTGTCCCCCTGGCCATATAACTCACCTGTACAGACCACATTATTGTCGCTTTTGTGGCTTTTTTAAAATATATTTGTTCAAAAAAAACAAAAACCAAACACCCTGTGTATATGTAATGTGACATGTGGCAAAAGAATAACTTTTCTTCTACTTTTGTGCACTTCTTTGAGGGCATTGCATCATTTTCTCTGAAATGCCACCACAACCACAGTCTGACCGTGAAATGCCTCCGCGCTTACTAGATTATTCTACTAACACAAGGTTCACGCACCTATGCGACAGGGGGTGCACTACGATGTCGTACCATGGGAGTGTGTTAGCAATGGTGTCAAACCACGGAGTGTGAACCCATAGAGAGAAAGTCAGCAATGGGAAGAGCATCAACCCTAGAGATCGCTAGCATTGGGAAAACTCCTAACTATGGGGAGAGTGTCAGTAATGAAAATCATATCATGTATAGAGTCAGCAACCAAAAGAGCCAGAGCAAGAGAGAGATTCACCAATGAAAGAGTGTCACCAAATGGGAGACCCCCACACTACGGTGAGAGTGTCAACGATAGAAAAAATTACGCTCCGACTCCATGGCCCCTCTGGTCAGGGTGGGACCAAGACGAGCAAGCAAGGTCCCTGGAAGACGTCGAGGCTCGCAGCCAACTCACTATCTGCCTCTCGCCCGTGGAGCCCGAGGAGTAGGTGGTGGCGAGGGTGGAGGAGCAGGCCTCGCTGTACCAGGGCACCAGACCGTTCTCCGTGGCGCTGCTGATGGACAGCGTCCAGATGGAGTTGGTGTAGCCGTCGCAGTTGCAGTTGTCCCTCTCCCGGCCGCCGTTGCCCGAGGCCCACACGAAGATGGAGCCCAGGCCGCCCCGGCCCTTCTCGATGCCGTCCCGGAAGGCCCGCGTGGCCAGCTCCCCGGGCCCGTCCACCGTCTTGCCGTCGTCGTCGGGGCCCCAAGACGCGCTGTAGATGTCGATGTGCTGGTCGTTCAGCGCCAGGGACCGGGCCTCCACTATGTCCGTCACGTCCCCGTCCAGCATGCGCACTCCTGCGAGCAGAGGAAGCAAAAATAAAGCACCCGCAACCTTTATCGCCGAAGTGCTATAAAGCATGAAATGCAGTTCAAATAGTGCAAGTAAGACCGGACAGGAGCTATTTGTCTTACTTGCTTTAGCGAAAGTCCTGTCTTGCTTGCTTTAGTGCAAGTCCTGTCTCAGCAATCTTATAATGAATAAAATGAGCACAAACAAAATAGTGCAAATAGGGCAAGGGGGAGCAAGTAAGACGGGACAGAAGTTATCCGGTCTTACTTGCTCTAGCACATGTCCTGTCTTACTGATTGTCCTTGTTCTATTTGCGCTATTTTGTTTGTATCGAAATGCACCAACTATACGCCATTTCACATTCGGTCCGAAACCAGACGCAGCAAGCTCTACATTCTACAATCAAGCGGCGCCAAAGGTGCACTGTCACAGTGCTCGTGGTCTTTGTGCATTTGCCATCACTGGCTAAAATAATAACGCACAGTTAATGCACTGCACTTCTTTCTATGCTTGAACGCACAACGGCAAGGAGCGTCATGACAACATTTTTGGTGCCGCTTGACTGGCTCCATCAAACAAACCCTAGAGTTGGTTGTCAGGACTTCATGTGAAAAGGAATATCCTATTATGTAACACCTTTTCCGAGTCACTTTATAAAACGCCAAACCTAACAAAATCTGCATTACAAAAAAAAAGGTCTGCAGTTTTAAATTTGAATTATTTATCGAATGAAAACTGCACACCGAGACTTGGTTGTTCAGGGCTTCCCTTACGCTGTTTTCGTCAGTAAAGCGACACAAAACACTGTATATTTTCCGGGTAATAAACAGCATGAGACCTATACTCATGAAAAGAAAAAAAAAATCTGAAATATAAAAATGTACAGATTAAAAAAAATTTAAACAAATTATTTAGGTGATTGGAAGAAGAAAAAGAAAAGCTCTAGTAATAACTAAGCTCCTGGCTGTTACTTTTTTTTCCCTTCTTTTTGTGGGTTGGTTCGACAAGTTCGCAGCCCCCCGTGAAAAGTGAATTGCTCGCTGCCCTGACACAACATCACAGGGCCTGCTTAAAGGCCGACAACCAGACTCGGGGTTCTGCAAGGCAGACGATCCTCCTCACCTTGGGAGAGCAGGAAACAGGCAACGGTAGACAGGGTAGAAAAGGGGAAAGGAGGAAGCGAGGGAAAAGTGGAAAGCGTGATCTGGCCGTTGGCCAGACAGACGCTGACAAATCAAAATCAGTTGTTTTTTTTTTATTCAAAACGATTGAAAACGATGCCTGAACATTACCCTCAAAATTCGAAACCTAAAAACTCCATAATTGTGAAATAGAGAAAAAAAAAAATTCAAAAAGCCGAATTTGAAGTTCTCGCGCGATTCGCGCCAGTGCAGTGACTCAGTGACGTCAAAAATTGAGTTGTCCTGCAACTCAAGTTTCTCTCACCTCGCGCCGTCGTGTCGTATTTGCCCGCGTGCCGCGATCAATCGCTCCGTGCGTGCTGCCTATCGCTGTGAGCAGACGAGGCTTCACTCTCCAGTCTAAAGTTCTTTGAGGGCCCTTCCAGCGATCTCAAATTCTTTCAAACGCGAGGTCGAAGGGAGCGCGCAGTGAACTTTTGTGAGCGAGGTGAAGGGCCACGTCGCGCCGTTTCTGCGTGAAAGGCTGCCCCGGCGGAGTCACTACCGAAACTACGATACACAGACGCCAAAACCCAGTTGTTTTGACCGTTTGGTCAATTTCCTTTTCGAAGCCTCAGAAGTCGTCAGGCACCTAAAAAAGAGAACCTCATCCGATTCCCCGATCATCCTCAGTGCTACATACGTCAAGCGCCGCCATGTTTTCCGAGGGAGGATAAAAAGCCAGGAGGCGACATCATTCCGGAATACGATTTTCAGTAGTTCGAAAAGAAGGGCTGTTCTATGAATGCTGTTATTAAATATTATAAAAAATGTCGCCTACAAGGCTTCTAAATTTCATAATGTATTACGTAACAAATAAATGAAGCGAGGATGTAAGAAACGGGAGAGAAAAACGCCAAAAACAAAAAACGCAGGCGCGGGGAAATTTTTTTTTTTTTTTTAGTTCTTTTTTTTTTTTTTTTTGCGTGTGTATGATTACAAATTTTATCGTTTTTGACAACAAAAACAAATAAGACCTTTGGGGTGAAAGTGCCTCTTTAACTACATCACCCAGTGGAGCCCAGCGCGAGCCAGATTAGCTCCTAGCCAAACGCCGAGGAAGCGCTCGTGCGCAATCTGTGCCCAGCGCCAGCCCGGTCACGGCTTTATAGAAGATTCACGTTTATTCTTATTCAGGGCGTAACTTTTATCATTTCGCCTCAGATTCTTGCTCTCGAAAGGGCCTGTTCATTTTCACCCCGAACGCTCGATGTTCGAGACCTTCTGGGCCGAATTTTCGCGATGCGGAAGGTAATAGAAGCTCCTCCCACAAGCGTGATATGCGCCTGTTTCAAATCTTTCCGTAGTCGAAAATAATAGCTCACTGGAAACGCCTTTTTTTCCCGCTTCAATGGATAGATCAGGGGTGGCCAAGCTGCGGCTCGCGTGCCGCATGCTGCTCTTCCCATGTTACAGTGCGGCTCGCGGCTCCCTCCCCCACCCCCCCCCCCCCCCCCTCCCGACCTCCCTGCCGGTCACACGACCACGTACCCAAAAAGAGAAATGGAACACGTTTTAAATCGAAAGGCAGGTTACCGTTTGGTAGTCTGGTGCTACTGCCTTACGTACAGTTGGACCACTTTTGACTCGGATAGACTGAAAGTAGCTGGAGTTTCGTTTATTGCCATTTACACAAAAAAAAAAAAAAAAATGCACGGGCCCGCTAGGCTTGCAATCCGCAGCGTACGGTCCTAGAAACTCTCTAATGTAAAACAAACACCAACAAAAAATGCCACGCAAACGTGAAAAAAAAAAAAAAAAAAAAAATACTGCGCGCTAGGAAACGCTTTACTCTGCTCGAAGTGAGACCATCAATATGAGGTGACAATATGAATCCATAAGAAAGGAACGCAAGAAGGCAGCGCCGAAAAACGCCGATATAATACTAAATTATAGGAAAAAAAAATGTAAAAAAGAAGAGTTTGCCTGCAACTGTTGGAACGTTCGTAACAGGATGCGCGGCAGATGTCCCATCCAGACACAAGGTCGTCTAGGTGTATCGCGGACGTTGCTGGAGATAGCACGCCGCCGACTACATCATCCCCCAAGTGAACGGCAATATATGACGCAAAACGTAAAAATATATACATAAAAAAAAATCGTACTCTACGCACTTGAAGAGCACGCGCATCTGGAAAGTAAAAAGTCCCGACGGTGCGGGATTAGAGAAGCGCTGGGACGTGCAAAGCCTTTACGGTGCATGTAAAGCCGAGAGCTACGTGTCTGTTTTCCACGGTTAAAAAAAAATATATATATATTGACTGTAGAAACCATACTTGTACGTAATCCGCTACAAGTAACAGAATTACTTGTAATCCCTTACATTTATCAGTAATTTAGCAACGGAATAATTACATATTCGCTAGAGTAATTGTAAAGTAATTTCCTTACATATTCACTTAACGGATTCCTCGTAAATCCTTACATTTTTAATCAACCATTTTTTAACAACTTTTTTAACCGTGCTCCGCATTTTGAACGGCACCAAGAAAGGTACGCGCAAGCAAACGTGCGTTAACATTGCCTTGTTTTAACCGACGTTTTAATTATTTGTTTTTGGGAGAGTACCTGGTGCTTTTATTTCCTTATAACCTATATTTATATCGAAAACGTTCATTATCTTGTTCACCAATTTCACCACCCAACATTTTTTTTGTTCACCAACCAACGCTCGACCTGTTCGCAGCCAAAGGAAAACAAATATAAATCGAAACCTTATTTATTATTTAACTGTCACGTGGAACTATATACCCTGTCTTACTAATTTGTTATACCATCAGGTGGTGCAGGTAGAAAAAACAGTTTTTGCCTTTTTTTAGCCCTCACTTAAAAATTGAGGAATTGAGTTTCGCGATTTTGACAATATCAGGCAGTGCAGCAACGACGAAGCTCTGCTCTTTCTTCAGGGTAAAAAGCACTTACATCGCTTCACTAGAGAAACACAATACAAGCATCAAGCACTGGTGACGAACAATATGGTAACACTCATCTAGTGCCTCAGTTGAAACTTGAAAGGTTGTTCAGTGTTGCAGTCAACACCTTCACGAAAATATGAGGCAAGGTGTCTAACGAGACTTTCGAGAGCCAGCTGTTGCTAAAAATACAAAAGGTCAATGATTGGGACTGGTGGCAATAATAAACGCCTGAATTTCGGGGTAACGGTCACTTACTTTTATAAATGGGTAATTGTCATTGTAATTAATTACAATGAAGCCTCGAGTAATTGCAAATGTAATTGCTTACTTTTTTTTGTAACGTGTACAAGTCTGGCAGAAACCACTATTGTTGGTCGTCTATGAACTGCGACAGCATTCGTTATGAGACTCACGATGCAGCTCACTGAGATACAAAGACGACGCAAATTTTGAGGAAACACTATCTTACGAATGGTTTATGACGCAATCATTGACGCCAGTGCGACTGCAGCGTGCCGAACTTTGAAATTGAACGATTGCTTCGTGTTCAATCTTTTGTCTCTGTGCGATCGTTTAATGTGCAAGCTGTTTCACCACCATCATTGACCATGTAGCCATTAGCTCATCTCAAACCCATACTGCTTCGTAGCTTGGGCGCAAATGTGAATGTGTGCGTACTGCCGCTCCGTGACGAGGTCCTAGAAGAGCTCCAGGACAACCTCAAGGACGTCGTCTAGGAAGACATAAAAGACGACGTCTAAAACAACCTCAAGGACGACCTCTGGGACGACGTCGAGGACGGCGTTCTAGAGGAGGACGTCAAGGACAACGTTTAAGACGATTTTTAGGATGACCTCAAGAAGGACCTCTAGAACGACGTCGAGGAAAGGACGTCAGGTCCTTCGAACAGGGTGCGATTGTCAAGGAGTGCGCGTGCTGCCGCTCCGCATACGCGCGGTGAATTCAAGGCCAGATCTTGTATCGCGTAAACCGGGGGAAGTAAATAAATAATATTATCGCATTAAAAAAAAAAAAGAAGAAAACTTCATGCGAACAGTTTTTTTTTCTCTTTTATCTAGTGATGAGCTAAACAAAATGTCAAGAGTATATGCTGTCGCCGCACAAACTATTTTTAACGAGCATTATCACACCAGAACTACAGGAAAACAAAGTATTTTACCAACGTAACATTTTTCGACGAGAATAACGATCGTATTATCATTGCTGTTTAATGTGGACTTAAGTTTCTGGTTGGATGGCAACGCAACTCCGCAAATGTGCCATTATTTTCCCAATCTACTCGAGAACTGGGCTAGTTATTAATACCCGTTATACATTGTATCGTTCAAATTGCGACATAAAATAGAGAGGTTCAAAAACAGCATCGGCTGGTTTTGTTGCTCCGGGTCATTTGAAATTTGCGACTAATCTACGCCGCGCGACACTGTTGGCGCGATCGCCGACTCTTTACGGTCATCTCTTAGAATCAATCAATCAATTACCGCTTTGGCCCTATGGGGCAACACCGATACTTTGTCGAGATGAAATGCGAAAAAAGCATCGATGCCGTGTATGTGCTAACAGTATTCCGCACCGTACCATCACGCTCATCGAAACCGATTTATCAAAGACTGATCATCGCAGTAGCAGAGGGGTGATAGAAACACTTGGCCAATTAACCCCGAGACCAATTTTTCCCGCGATGAGCGGATGAAAGCGGAGCGACGGCAAAATCGGATCCGAAGAATTCCGCCCTTTTATTGTTATGAGCTGTCTGGCGCGTGCTGAAAGCGACTATAGGGAGTATTCACTGGCGGCCATAGCTGTGTGCGCGTATGCTGAGCGCGTGCTGATGGCGAGCTTCCACAGTTCTTTTGCAACGTGCATTCCGCACCATCAAAAGTGCCGGCCTTAGCAGCCTATTGATGTGAGCTCGTTCTGAGCATGCGCTCTAAACAGCACCCACAAATATGGCGTGTAGTGAATACTCCCTATTCCGAAGATTTGACGGACACCCTCAAATTAAAAGTGCACAAAAGCTTAAAAAAAAAAAAAAGACACTACCCAAAGACAAATAAATTCAGCAAAAAAAAAATATGATTTTGAAAAATGACATATTTACAACAGCATCTAGAGAGTATTCCCAGAAAGTTTAATAAGTTTACACTGCATAGTTATTTTCTGTCCACCAAAGCTAAAGAAAAGGTAGGGTTTGGAGCACTTTGAACGCCATTTTCTCCGTTCCACTACTTGGTATAAATTCCATTTTGGTCAATATATCGTTTGATAGCGGCAATACAGGGAAGGCTCGTTTTCCACTTTTCTTGGGGGAAATTTAATAAGGGATGCGGGTATGGATTTTTTGTTGTAAATTTACATATATATTTTATAAAAAAATAATAACATTTTGTCGAAGACACAGAAGACCAAAAAGTTAACCAACTTTGCAGAAGAGAAAATCTATAAAAATAAATAACTCCTTACAAAAAAGACACAGAAAAAAAAAAATTATAGCCGCAATCTTTAGGCATCCTGCTACACATGTAGCGAATACAAATCTTGAATTTTGTGATAGTTTTCCGACGATAGATTAACTGAACACTGTAGGCGTGTTGCTGATAGCAGCTGCTCTAATTCCCTTCCCATTTAACTGACAGACCTGAAATGTTGTAATGCACCCTCTAGCATGAAAACCACCCTACCCCGTAAATTACATTAATTTTAAACCAAGGGTTCAAAAGTTGACCCTCCCACGTTCAACTTTTAAAACCTTGGCTTAATTTTTTTTTCTTTTCTGGTACATAAAACATTTTTTTTACTCATTTATTCTAACAACAAAATGGCGGAATGACGTCATGTGAAAACAGCCTGTAAGGAGTTTCAGTAAATCGGTCCGACACCTCGGATAACGAAACTCGATACCGGCACGATGCATGCACAAAGGCCCGTCATTGGAAACACCAAAACAATTTAATAATAAAAAAAAAAACTCTTAATTTTTTTGACGATGTACTTGCAACCGGAGAACCAGTTCCGGTGCTTCTGAGAGAGAAGAGTACTAGCGAGCAGACGGGAGAGAGATGTGCACAAGAAAGCGTACCTCCGATGCCCGCACCGAAGGCTACGCCGACTGCACAAATGGAGTTGTTCTTCACCGCAGCCACTTCGCCGGCACACCGCGTCCCGTGCCTGTAGGATCGAAGAAACAAAAAAAGGCGAAAAAAGTTGCCTACTCACTCTTATTGAAAAACTAAACTTCGCCCCCCCCCCCCCCCCACACACACACACACAGAAGTGCAATACTGTCGCCGGTTATAACGAAGTCAACGGGAATCAGAAATCACTTCGATATATCCGCTATTTCGTTATAACCGACTTCGGTTATAACTAAGTACAAGAGGGAATGAGAAATCGTGATAGCTTCGTTGTAGCCGTTATTTCGTTATAACCGACTTCGTTATAACCGGTTTCGACAGTATTTACGTCGCAAGACTAATTTGAGCGGGGTGAATAAAAATCGCAACTTTTGTTAAAAAAGAAAATGAAATAAATCGGATTTTTGCTCGACTAACTAGAAATGAGCGTTTTTTTTTGTTACTAGATGCATTTTCACAATGGTTGCGCGATATTAAATTTGTCTCGCGCGATTGATTATTCGTAGATTTAAATAAGAGCTAACGGACCGTGGACTGCAAAAGTAACAAACGATAAAAATATAATATATCCGGTATTGTGTCAGGCCAAAGTGTCCGATTTTGAGTCTTCACAGTCAAATCGGTGCGATTTAAATCTAAGTTTAAATCACGATTTAAGTCATCTAGACTTTTCTTCGGTATACATTTCAGGGTTAAAGACTTTCAACGCAACAATTGCGCTTTTTCTTTTTTTTCGGGGATATTCATGTGACATTAAAAAAAAAAAACACTTAAAAGAAGAAAAAAAAGTTTTTTTTAAGTTTGGTGGAGATAGGCGTGTCAAGAAATTAATTTTACGTGTAAAAAGAATCGTTTAGAGCAATACTGACGGCGACATATTTATTTGCAATTCTGCGCGCAAAGTCCATGACGTCACGGAATCGTCATTCCCTCAAACGAGATGGTAACTGGCTCTTTCCACCTCAACATGAAGGCGGAGCCGATCCACTTCTCATCCACGCGCCCGAAATGCCGTCAATATTGCTCTACACCTTTTTTTTTTTTTTTTTTCGCGTAACGTTTTTGACACGCGTGTCCCATTCAAACTGCCGGACTGTTTAAAAAAAAATCTTTTCAGGTTTTTTAAGGTAACAATAAAGATTTTTTTTTGGGGGGGGGGGGGGTGTTCAGTGTTTATTTAATTACAATCATTCTGTACCACGAGCGATCGCGATCATACGCCGATACATCTCGTCAGAGATTATTAAACCGCGTAGGGTTCAGTGTTTTCGGTAAATATCGATAAACCCCGGAAATTAAACCTCGGGCCAGTTTTACCATAATAGGGGAAACCAGAAAAATGCCGAACTCGAGTCGTCCTTGGTTAAGAAAATACCACGCCTCCCGGGAGTAAAATATGTATGTACAGCTCTATCCCTTGTTGACCCGAAACACGCGTCCTCACTGAGATGTACGCCCAGGAGGCGCCTCTTCCTTCAAGAAGGTAGGGCGAGGGTATGATGGGCCGGGGAAGAGGAAGCAGACGGAACGCTGGAGAAGAGAGGGGGGAAACCTCCTCCTTTCTTTAGCGTTCCGTCTGCTTCCTCCTCCCCGGCCCGCCTTTCCCTGCCCTAACCTCTTGAGTTGCTATTATCGGTACGGGGACCTTTTTCCCAAGTATTCGGGTCGCCCGTACGTCCCCTGGACGTTTTTGAGTTCTATACTCGTGCCCCCTTTCACCCTAAACGATTGTCATTCTAATACCAAAATTTGAAACCGATAAACACCGAATCTGGAAGGAAAAATAAGCTCCAAAAAAGCGCCCCGAAAAAGTCGAAAAAAAAATAAGCCATGAAAACACGGAACCCTAGTCAACTTACAGTACCTTGAGACATATATGGATCTTAGCGAAACGGCACTAGTATGTTTGGATAGCCACCAACTACAATAATTTCTACCACATTCAACTTTAAAGGATCGATGGCAAACTTTCGATCCCCTTTAGTGCGTGTATTTTTATATTTATCCTTCACTTTCAGGGCTTCAAAGTTGATATTCAGTATTCACATACACACTAATCGTGGCGTCTAGACCGTCTGAATTTAATAAAATGACTTAATTCACTTCGCATAGCAATCCGATGATGATGTAGTGCGTCAAGCTTCACATGGACTTCGTTGCTGATCCTGAATAACAAAAAAGACCGACGCTTTAACCGGGTTAAATATTGTGCGTTAAATAAAAAAATAAAAAAGAGAAGAAAAATCTGCGGCGACAGCGCAGATTTTTTGTTTCTTTTTTTCGCGGCGTGCAGCAGACAGCACGGTCTGCTGCACGCAAAGTGCAGAACATCATTTTTCACCAACGTTCAAAAGTTGAAAAAGATGCGAAAATTAAGACCTCACATGGCGTCACAATTTTCCCGCTAAATTCAGAGGGGGAGAGACGCTTCGCATGACGTAGCTAGCATTTTCATCTGACAATGATTCCCCACCAAGTTTCGCGCACCACACCGTACACACAGCAGGGACCGCTGCAAAATCTCGTCAATAACGGCTGCGTATAAAAAAAATACAGAAAAAGAAAAGCGAAAAAGTACCTGTTGGAATCCACGAGATCGTATCTTGGCTGCGGATCCGGATCGTGGTTGTTCATGTCCCAGCTTGCTTGAGGATCCTGAACACACACCCAAGAAAACGTACCGTAAGCATAAAACGTGCAGAGTCTTGTGCAAACAACCGAAACTGCGGAAAAGTGTGTGGAGGTAGAAAAACAGTACCCTAAAGCTTGATTATTTTTTTTTCTTTCACACCAGAGCGTTTATATTTACTCTTAAGACACGAATTGTGTAAATTTATTACCCAATAAATGTGATCACAAAATCAAACTTGCTAACAGCAGAAACAACCGAAGGATTCAACACAATTAGAGTTTTCTTCAAAAAGAATATTCTCATGTTTGTGAGCAATACGAATATTTTTATTAAACTATTAAAGAGACACACAAACACCATTCAATGAATAAACACATCACACACACACACACGCACACACACACACACACACACTTAATGAATAAACATATTTGGATCCATCGCATATTGGCTTGCTCCGGATCCACTTAATATTTAGGAAGAAAAGTTTATCCCGACGCACGTCTACATACCTTACATAGTATAAGGATTTTTGTTTTCCCAATTGACATATTTCTGCAAGTTCGGCAAGGTAAGCTCTGCCCCATTGCCTTCTGTCTCATGCGCGTCGCTAAATTATGTCTTCCACAAGTTTTACTTCGATGATCATCTACACAATTCTTCATCTTGCCACCTCATCGCATATAACCCCGCACTGATCACCACGCAAAAGTTGGCCTTCCTTTCACTCGACACCCGAGTACTGGAACAGCCTGCCCGGAGCCATCGTTTCTGTCCAAGACATCGATTCGTTCCACCAAATGTTAACCTGGCTAGTTTGTTAATCCACTCTCTTATGTAATACCCGACACAGGGTTCTTAAAGGGATACTTCAACGAAATCTGAAATATACCCGTTGTGTTCAAAAAAAGGTTGAATATGATCTACGGTATCCGTAAATGATATTCGCACGTTTGTATTTTGAGCTTGGTGGCTGTTTTTTTCGTTATAAACGGCCCACTCTGGCAAGCGCTCGGAGAAGGCCAAGCGGAGACCACGTGACATCCAACGCAATCGTGACGTAGTTCGTCTCGGGATGAGCAAGGCTACGGCGAGGCTGACGTCGAGAGAATGGCCTAGTCGTTCCAGGCACCGAAGCGGCTGCTTTTGTACGAATTTTGAGTGACGGGTTAATCTTCTTTAATCTTGTAGAGGGACAATAGCAACTTCTGGGTCACACAAAAGAGAATCTCGGGAGAGGAAAGTTCCTCTTTTCCCCTCTTCTCTCTTTGTGGCCGGAAGCAAGACAGCTACCGTTACTACCTCTCAAGGTTCCTAGACGGCAATTACAAACGAGGCGTTACCGGCATCGGCCAGGTGCTCTTTGCTAATCGTTTAATTCGTTTTAAAAATACGTTTCGTGACTTTTAACAAGATATTGGTGTTTTCGATGTGATGCTGCTCCTTTGAAGACATATGGACCAAAAAATAAGCGCCGAAATTTCGTTGCAGTATCCCTTTAAAGCATTTAAATAAAAAAAAAATGCGCATCACGGTTAGACACGGACGTCTGTAAATCTAAAAATTGATTCATGTTACCAATGGAGATGTAGAGCAGCTAGTAAATCCTGAAAGCACCGCTCAAACTAAAAAAAAGAAAGAAAAAAAAAGTGTGTAGCTTGTACGTTTACATAACCCTGAAATTGGTACGCCTCATCGGGTGACCGGTCTCCCAGCTGTAGATGAGAAATTTATCCAGTGCAGTATAACCGCTAACCTGGGTTTTTCTAACGTGCACAACGCAGTAGTGATTACACGAATGCGTACCGCTACGAAACTCATCCAAATCGAGACAGACAGGTGACAGGGATCGAACTTAGGAGGTTCTGCGGCGCAAGCTTTCGCTCCACGCTCTGACCTGAGTAGGTCCAGCGTTCGCGCTTCTATTGCCCGACGGCGCACAAACCGTTGAAATGCCAATTAACATCAATAACTAAAAAAAAAGAACAAGAAAAAACCAGAACACAGATGATTTGATTCTGCGACGATAGCCTTCTCTTATATCTGTTGCCATTCACAACTGCGTGCTGTCCTGCAAGCTTCTGTTGCATTATGTTTCGAGGAGTAAATAATCGACATAATTAGGAAAATGTAAGCAAACAGAAGAATACAACGATGGACACGTTCTGTAGTTTATACTGCATTGTATTTTACTTTCATGCTGCTTGTTTGTCTATCACTTTCTTCACACACAAGTATACGCTACACGACACTATTAGCGCGAAGAAGCGATTGCCGGTTTTTCTCGTCTTTTTTTCCAACATCTAACTCTAAAAAAAAAAAAAAAGCCGTGCGTCTACTTTCCCGCACAACACTTAGAGAGCCAATCTGCGCAACTTACGGAGGCAGCTGAGCGAATGGCGGTGCCGAAACACATGTTTAGCTGAAAAAAAACGCAGTCTGAGTTGCGACATTAAGCAATGCAAAACGTCCCGGCATTGCTTAATGACACAACTCGGACTGCGTTTTTTCGTCTATGCTTTGGCATCGTCATTCCTTGAGCTGCCTTCGTAAGTTGCGCTGATTGGCTCTCCGAGTGCTGTGCGAGAAATTAGACGCACGGGCTTTTTTTAGGGAGTAAGGTCTTAAAAACTACTATGATGGTGGAAATTACATTCTTATAGCGCACTAATCCTAAGCGGTAAAATTTCGTGCCAGACTATATACATCCTTTCGAAATAAGAGCGAAAACAAACCGCCGATGCCACGTTCGCGCTAACACTGTCCCGCAGCGTACGTCAACACGTTCTCCAAAACACTGCGAGGCAGACAACTAAATAAATGCGTAAGAACCTACGATACGCGAAGAGAAAAGCTAGAGCCCTATTTGATTGTCCCGCACAAAATTGTTGTACGTAGACTACACGTCATGCGGTCACGATCACGGTCACGATCGCACCGACGTACAACACGTGCCTAAACTTGTATAGGTAGACGTAGGATCACGTGACGCCGATGACGTCATGTCTCCCGTTCGTACCGGTTTTTGTTCTAAACAGCCTGTCCTATGCGGCGAGAAACCGAGGGAGAGGATGAAAGAGGGGGGGGGGGGGGGCGTCAGAGAGGACGCTGCGCTCTGATTGGAGTGATTAGTGGGTATACGCAAAGCTAGCCGCCTCTGTCTCTACTAATTGTTCGAACGCGAACGCCGGACGCTGGCGTTTTGGTAATCGAAAGTTTTTGAACTGCGAGCAGAGACAAAGGCAGCTATAGCTTTGCGTGTACCCACTAACTGTTCCAATCAGAATTCGGCATTCCCTCTGATGCGCCCCCCCCCCCCCCCCCCCCCCCTTTCTTCCATCCTGTCCCTCGGTTTATCGCAGCATAACGTGGTTTACGTTAAATAAACGCACTCTTTTTTTTTTTAATTTCGCCGCGAGCTGCAACAAATGACAGAAACCCCCAAGCCAGCGCAACGGGTCTTTCAACCTGGCGGAGCTTGTAACATTCTTGGCAGTCATTTAGAAGTACCCCGACAGTAGTATGCGAGTTTAAGTGTGAGCGCAGGATGGGAGCTAAGTTTCCCGGAGAAATAGCGTTCGATTCCCGTCCAAATGCCTTTCGAATCGCTCGTTGCACAGATACGTGCTGTCACGAAACGTGAAGTTCGAAGGCGAGGATCTTAACATAGCATTGGGACTTATCGAAGTATGCAAAGATAGCCGCCAAGTTTGCGACCAAACACTAGTAAAAAAAAAAAAAAAAAAAGAAGCTCAAGAATTCACGCACATGCTGGCATCCCGACGACAAGCCTTAGTTTTCCGTGCACGTAGAGACCGAGATAGTTCAATGGAGGTCCTTCAGCCTGAATCGTTCAGAGTCCGGTCACGCCGGTGGAACAAACAACCGACACTGTCCGCCAATATTGCAGAAGCCTTTCACCTTTCAGAAGCATATTGCTCACACACGTTTTCTTGTTGCCCATTAATGACCTTGAAACGTAAGAAAAAAAACGTTTAACTTGCAGCTTTGAATGCTTTGTCCAAATTGTCGAAAACGGTAGGGTTATACTAACCCAATTTAATTCGTTGTTACACATTGTGAAAAGATATTACTTTAGAACTCATTAATGTCCTCGCAATTAAATTATTCTTATTAAGTATGGGGTAACAACAAGAATTCCGAGGACACCCAAGCACTTCTTAAGAGTTGTGAATGCGAAAGCATGAATGTCATTCTTCCACTCCCTTAGTTCATCTGCGGTGTACTGACGTGGACGGCCACGTTTGGATACTGCCGAGATTGCGGCCGCCAACGATAGAGACGCCTCGGGCGCCGCCATGTTCCACGGCGGAAGCAGAAGCGGCCTCAGCCTCCCTCCTACGGCAACGCCTGACACGAGAGCGGCGGCCGAGCGCGCGAGCGCAATGGCTATCTAGGGGCCATTTCGCTCAGCCAATAGGAGAATGGGCATTTTTTTCGCGTTTTTTCGCGGTTATAGGCGCCGCTGGCTCAGCTCCATGGGATAGTTAATGCTTTCGCATTAATGAACATGGCTAAACTGTTTATTTTCTAGATGAAGGTATTGATTGCTATCGCTGTTTCATATTACGATACCGAATACAATTGTTTTCAATATACAGAATGAAACCTGTTAAAAATTTATGCAAGCCCAGATTTTCTGTAACGTACAAGATGTCATTAGAGGTTAAAAATGGATGGTTTATACGTTTAAGCAATCTTACCGCTTTCACCAGTTCGTGTCAACTCGGTCCGAAAGAGAAAGTTTGTTTCACCATCACACACACACACTGTATTTTGATCAGACATTAATCCATCAATTAACTGCAATATTAAATGATTTAGTCAGAAAAAGTATTGACATAGATGCGATGACGTAAGAGGAGGTAAGTGCATTTTTGTAATTTTTTGTTCGCTTAGGTAGGCAAAATATTGGCGTTTATAGCGCTCCAATCGTAGTGCCATAAATATATGTATCGCATACATGTATCGCGACAACAAAAATACAATATTGCATCCTTTT